TTAAAAGTAAAAAAGAAAAAAATCTACCTTAAGGGGCTAATAGTCTTACTAGCTATTATATAGCTATTTATTTTATTTATAAGTTACCTAATAGTTCTTATAACTAGGGGTTCTTATCCCCTGCCTTTTAGTAAGTCCTTTAGTGCTATAGGGTTTACTAGCTACTAGGGTATAGGTATACTAACTACTAAGGCTTAAGGCCTTAGCTACTAAGGCGTAGTGTATAGACTACTATAGCTATAGCGTACTTACTACTAAGGTATAGTGTATAGACTACTATAGCTATAGCGTACTTACTACTAAGGCGTAGTATATAGACTAGCTACTAAACCACACTATAACCTTATTTTTATTTATATATCCCCTATATAACCCCTCTAGCTATAATATTATAAAGGTATTAACTTAATTAAAGAGGGTGTTAAAGGTTTATTTTAGATTACTAAGTATTAGTAGGTTTAAAATATTAAGTATAAGAGAAAAAAAAGATTAGTTACTTTTAGTATAATAAGAGGCTATAGTTTAAAAAAATACTTTACTTTAAAAAAAGGATTATTATTAAAGTAATTAATATAATAAATTAGCTTAAGGACCTTATTATTTAAGCTATTAAAAAGTAAAGTCTTATTATTAGAGGAGTGCTTTTATTAGTTATTAATTAGTCCTAAAGGCCTCTTAAGTAGTCCTAAGAGCCTACTAGGTACTTCTAAGAGCCTACTAAGTAGTTTTAAGAGCCTATTTAATAAGCTTAAGGGCACTATTAAACTACTATATAGTAAGATAAAGAGGTAGCTAGGACTCTTTATTAGGGGGGGAGAGGCTAGGCTCTAAAGAAAGTTATAAGAGAGTAGTCTATTAGGTCTTTATTATTCCCTTAAGGAAATAGTATATAAGGTAAAGTATTAGCTTTATACTAAAATAATATAGTTTATAGTATAAAAAAGGTTATATATTATATAAGGTATTAACTAAAAGCTTAGTAATAAGGTTATACTACCCCTTAAGGTCTTTAGCTTTATAGAATTAGCTAACACTAAGATAGCTACTTATTAATATAGAAAATAATAAAGTAGCACTAAATAATAAAATTAAGTTATAATTAGTTAGTTATTACTTTTAGAAGGTCTAACTTATACTAAAAAGATAGGTTAGTTAAGTTAGGCGCTATAGAATAGGCTAAGTTTAGTGCTATAAAAGACCTCTAGCTTTTACTAGTAATACTATAGTAAATAAGAAGTATAAATAAAACTAAGGTTAGATTAATCTAGTAGTAGGGAGGGGGAAAAAAGATAAGCTACCTTATATAGGTCTAGTAAAATTTAGTTATACTAATAATAAATTTTAAGCTAATTAAGAAAATAGAAAACGACGCCCTTATAAGGGTGACGCCCTTATATTAATTTATAACGCCCCCTTATTAATTCTTATTATATATATATTTAGTATTTTTCTTTATATTATATAACTATCTTTATAAAAAACCTTTATAATATAACACTATAGCTAACTTATAGAATTTAATAGAACTTAAAAAAAGAAAGCTAGTTAAGTTTATTCTTAACCTAGATTCCTAATTATTTCCTCTTTAGCTTAGTAGTATTAAAGAAATAGCTAATTAACTATATACTAACTATAACCTATTACTAGTTAGTAAGCACTAGGCCTTAAACTTTATTAAATAAACACTAAAGCTTTAAATATATTTATTTTAGAAATATAACTATAAGAGAGCTTAATATAAAAATCTTAATATAATAAATATATAGTTCTCCCTTATAGTAAATATAATTATAAAATATAGTATTATAAAGTTAGATATTTATAACTTTATTAAGACTAGCTTTATAATAAGCTAAATTATGTCTAGAATAGTTATTATAAGCTCTAAAAGATATTAAAATATAAAAATAGTATAGCTTAGTAATTAAAAAAAAGTTATAGTTATTTAAGCTATTAGTTTATTTAGTTATAACGTCTTATTATATATTATTATTAGAGGTAAAACTCTCTTTTTTACTTAGTATATAGAATCTAGTTTTTTACTTAACTAAGTTATTATAATATCTAAAAATAAATAAATAATAAATAAAAAAGGCCTAAATTAGCTTTAGTACTTTAATTAATATTTAAAGTTATATAAAAAAATTATTACCTTTTTATTCTTAATAAGTATAAAAGTTACTACTTTATAGATTTTAAGGTATTTTCTTAAGAAAATAATATTATTACTTTTTATATACTACCTTATTTTTTTTATTTACTTTAGCCTTTAGATATAAAATACTTTAGGCCTTTAAAGTTAGTATATAGCTAAGAAATTAAAAATAAAATATAATAAAGTAATACTTATATTACTAAAAATAACTTCCTTTTAGTATTTTATAATACCTTTAAGTAAGCTCTTATAAAAAAAATATTTAAAAAGGTTTTAAAGGGTTAAAGATTATCTTTTTAAGTATAGAAAGTATACTATTAAAGCTAGACGTTAGGTTATATACTTTAATACCTTTAGGTTTTCTCTTAATAACACTTTTAGCTTAAACTTCTTAGACACTATACACTATATTAAAAATAAATTCTTAAGGAACTTTAATTAAGAATTACTTTATTAATTATTTAAATTACTTTTTAATATATAGTTTAATAGCTACTAAGTATATTCTTAAAAAAGTATTAAGATATATATATAAAAATACTTTAGTAAAAGCTAAAGTTAAAAGCCTTTAAAAGGAAAATAACCTACTTAACTAATATAAAAGAACTAAGAAAATTTACCTTAAATAAAAAAGAAGTCTTATTATAGCTAATATATAAGATATTTAGTTATAAAGAGAGACTATAGCCTAGGTATAAGAGGAAATATATTAAAGTAGTAGTTATAGACTAAGAATAAAAACAGGTTAATAGCGTTATAGCACCTATAGGAACGCTAAATATAATATATAAACGTATTAGTTTAATAAAAAGATATCTAAAGTAGAGAATTCTAAGTAGTTTAAATTAATTTAACTATATTATTATTAGTTCTTTATTATCTTTATAAGGTATTTATAGTAAGCTAATTACTTTACTTATCTAATTAACTTACTTATTATATACGTTAGCTTATATATAAAGTATATTACTATTACTTTACTTTATATATTACTAGACTTTATTATATATACTTTAAGTAAAGTTTACCTTATTATTAGATTCTTTAATATTTTTTATTTTCTTATTTAAGCTTTTAGCTAAGGTAGTTAGGTCTTTTTTAAAGCTAAATAAAGTTAAAGTTATTTTAAGTATAAATATTATAAAATACTATTAAGTAAGTATCAAGGTTAACTTACTTAATAAAAGGAATTAAAGTATTATAACTAGTTTTTAAATAGTAAGGTTTTTACTAATAATAAGTAAAGGTTAGTACTTAGTTAATAGTATTTTTTATTTTTATTATTTTTATTAATTACCTAGTAACTAGACATAAGGCTAAGTTATAAAGAAGCTTATATAGCTCTTTATTAATTAAATTACTAAGATTAAATACTAAAAGGTATTTAAAAATATATTATAAGTTAATTACTAAAAAGCTATAAAAGTCTATCCTTAAGTATATCTAAGTCTATCTTATATAAAAGTCCTAGCTATTTCCTAAATAGTTTTTTTAACTAATAGTTATAAGGTTAAATAAGTACTTACTTAGATATTTAATAAGCGCTTATCTTACTTATAAATAAGTGCTTATTCTTTATTTTATCTTATACTTATAGTTATATAACTTATACTATAGTTCTTTTGTTCTAGGGAGTTATCTGTCTGTTCCTTATTTCTTGTCTGTATAAATACTGCTGCTGCCTACTATTTGTCTAATAGGTGAGGTAATATAGCCTGTAACTTGTTAGGTTATAACATAGTAGTAGTTATCTCCTAGCCTAACTATGTCTTTTAGTTATTTAATACTTTCTTTATAAAGACTTTATTCCTTAATACCTAAACTTAGTTAGTTATCTTCTCTTTTCTTACTATTATAACCTTATTTTCTAGAAGACGCCTTAGCTCTTCCTCTAGTAAATTTACTAGGTTATTAAGGTGCTAGTCCCCCTCTAGTATACTTAGTGTTAGCTAGGTGTTCTACTATTAGCTGCCTTACTATTAGCTACCTTACTATTAGCTAATAGATTAGGCCCTAGTAGACGCTATTATAGCCCTAATAGTTAGTATGCTTAAAGATAAGTAGAGATTAGAACGTGTTAAAGGCTAGGTCTACACTAAGTAAAGGAGTCTATAAATAGTGTAGTTAGGAGTTAAAGGTATAGACTACTAAAAGCATGTAGTGACGTAATTAGGGACTCTGGTTGTAATAGTGATAAATAAACAAACACACTAACACCCTATAACGCAAAGTAACTCAGGTACCTAGTCTAATTATGTTAAGTTTATAAGATCTAATTAGGCTTTTAATACTAATTAGAATCCTATAACTTAATCAGACAGGATAGACAGCTCCCTATCGCCTTAGTTATTACGTATCAGCTGGCTTGATTAAAGAGTAAGGCACTAGTTTAAAGATTTTTAAGAAGAAAGATAAATCGAAGGAGGAAGCATGATTGTTCTCTATCTAATGCAGCTGATCAGAAGGTTCTTATACTTCCAGACGCTGATCAGACTCTTCCCTTTTCCTGTAACCACTGAACAAATGAAATCCCCGTCCCCGCTCCACTATTCTGATCTGCCTCCTCCTAGTCCCTCTTGCTCTAGAGTTCTCCTCTTTATAAGTCCTCCTCTTTATACGTCCTTTGGTCTGCCGCCTATCTGTCCCTGGGCCCACTCTAGTGCCCTCCTGGTCCTCCCCTGGATACTTAAGGCATCTCTGATACGTTTTCCCCACGCTCTGGTCCGGAACCTCCGGTCCCGGTCTCATCCCGGTGCTCCCCTGTGACCCCGTCCCGGGCACCTGACACCTATTTAGTTGCTTATCCCTTCGAATCTATGTAGACAAAAGAAGACATAAACGGAGGTTAAAGTCCAGCCATCGCTTGTACAAGCTTCAAGTTTGGTTTATAAGCATTGCCTCCCATGTGAAAGTCGTTCATGATAGCAGCGTCATAAAGTCTCCCCGCAAAATCCTTCCCCTGATTCAGGCTGCTAAGAAGCCCTTTCAGCTCAGCGCTGCCTGCCTTCAGCATTCGCTTCACGAACCGGTTCTCGATGATAAACATGGGCCCCTCAATAATAGATTTAAAGTCCTTGAACTGGGGCACAGCTACCTCGTTGAGCCGAGTTTCAATGGCTGGGTCGATCTTTGGGTTTGCAAGCTTGGCGATGTATAGGTAGTAGACGTCGTGATGGCGACCAGCAGCTGCCTCCTCCTGGAATGTTCTCCGGATCGCTCTTTCGTGGCCACCCGTAATGTAGATGTCGTCGAGGTTCAAGACGACCATACCCTCGATGGCCTGCCGGTCAAAGGTGAAGTGTTCATTGTTCATAAGATTCTCCCTGTCTGCGTCTGACATGGTGGCGTAATCCCCCGACTGCGAGGCCGACGTGGCCTTTAGAATGGGAACACTTAGCACGGCGTAAGCACCCTCTGCTGCTAGGTAGCGGTTTAGGTATTGGCAGAAGGCGCTTTCGAACGTTGTGGCAGCTGTAGGCAGCGACCCCTGCGAGACCATGGTTGCGAATCGTGTTAGTGGCCTGTGGCTTGCCCGGTCTTTGTCAAGTATAGGCTTGATAAGTTGCTTCCAAGCGAGATTGGCCATCTCCTGACCATACTGGCTTGCGAACCTCGTATCTCCGTACTTGAAGCGGCTATAGTCGTACTTGTTGAATCCTGGCTTCGCTTCATCTTCAATATAATACAGGACCAAGGTGTCTTTAATCAACGATGGCTGACGGGGAACCAAGGACACATCGTTGGTCTGATCGTGGTAGGGATTTGTGGGGAAAGAGAAAGAGGGGGCGAAGGAAAATGCAAAGACGAGCCAAGTAATGAGGCGCCTTACAGCGCTCTGCCTGGCCGACAAGAGAAGCATGGTTAAGGAAGAGGTCGACACAGCGTTGCTTGTTTCGCGATAATGACAGTCAGATGGGAAGCTAGGAAGATAAATGAGCTTTACAAAGGCCTGAGAAAAGATCAGGTCTGGCTAAATAGGAAGGTGCTTCTTACCTCAGAAGTAATAGTCCGTTGGATAACTAAGCTGCCTAGTATCTTCCTCTAGCTAGGGTTCTTGATTAATTTATAGTAGAGATGCCTATCCTTGTATGACTCCAAATACATAAGAGTGCTCAACCTTAGAACCTGCTAACACACTGAAAATATTTCCCAACGCATAACTTAGTCATTATCTACACATAATCCATATATTACATATATTAGGGTCTGATCGGTAGTTCCGATAACTCTCGTAAGTTTAGATAATGAAAAACAGGAGGATACATTATAATTGCAGTCTACTTGACTGCTAGAGTGAGGTACATAGTAGACTCATCGGTTCCCTGAAGAGGCTGCACCTATTAATTAAATCTGCCCCATCCATTAAATGTTATCCAACTGACAAACAGCAACAACATTCATAACTATTATTAAAGGTAATTAGTTTTATATTATTAGTTTACCTAATTAGGAGCCATCTAATAGTACGAATATTTTTCACAACTAACTAGCGTCTTTGTAATAAGGGCCCTATAATCCTATTGCTAGTAATAGTAAGTGTGGTAGGGGAAACACTCCACAATAATATACCTATTTAAAGGGCGGGCCGGCCGGGCCGGCCGGGCTAGCCGGGCTAGCCGGGGTGGCCGGGCTGACTGCACTAGCTAGGCTAGCTTTACTGCAGCCGGCAGGCTAACCAGCCAAGGTAGTATAATGCAGCCTCCTGAGCCTTCTAATGGGTATTAGGACTCAAAGGGCACATTTTAGATAGCTCTCAATCAGATGCATTAATTAATATAAAAATTCGTTCATTTGACGATAGTTGCAATTGTTGCTTGTCTCGATGTAACCTATATTACTGTATTTCTTCCTCAATCGGCGAGGCCGTAAGTATCTATACAGGCACCTCACAGGCCACCCTAATACTATTATTATGTTTAACCAGTCATCATGGACGGGCCCGCTTTTTAGCTATAACAACGCCTCTATTATATATAAGTTAATTTATAGTAGAACTTTTAGTTGATGCACCATGTCCATATAAACAAAATCAGACCCTGGAAGAATACATGTATACTGAAGTTCACAAACTCAAAGAACCACTCTGCTTCTTTTGGACCCCCTTTTACTAACTTTGGTCGTCCATCGGCTCCATTACGGCGATAGGGGTCGCCGAATGCGCTGATTTGGTATACTGTGCACGAATCCCTTAGGAATCTCGTCGAAGGGAAGGCACATAAATATAATGCTATCTCGGACGAGCAAGGCGAGAACGAAGGGGTTGACAAGCGTCGGGAGGCCAGCATACCACCAGTCCACAAACGCTGACTCTCCTTATTCATAAATATCGCCATGGCTTTTGCTACCCTACTCTTGTTAGCCTTGGCCGCCTTCAGGTGAGTCCTGTGATTATTGCTCTCATCCTTATGTGTGGAATTGGAAACTAATCACAACTTAGTTTTGTCTGCGGCCAGGCACCACACAGCCGTCCTCAGAACATCCAGCAGCTCTGGGGCCCTTATTCACCTTTCTTTTCAGAGCCAGAATCATCTGAAATCAGCGCTGCAGTACCTCCCGGTTGCGAAATTACTTTTGCCCAGGTCCTGTCGCGGCACGGCGCTCGAGATCCTATTAGAGTCATGGCGGAGAAATTTACGGAACTCGTTCACCGCATACACACAAGCGTCACTAGTTACGGCAGAGGCTACGAGTTTATCAAGACCTATAAGTACACCTTAGGCACTGAACAACTCACACCTCTCGGTGAGAGGGAGCTTATCGAATCGGGTAAAGCGTTCCATAAACGCTACCAAGCGCTTGCTGCTATGAACAAACCCTTCATTCGAGCTGCTGGCCAGGAGCGTGTAATTGAGTCTGGCCACAATTGGATACAAGGTTTCTATGGCTCTATCACCGACGGCCATAAGAAGGACATGCTTATTATCCCTGAAGCCCACGGTGTTAATAACACGCTAAAGCACGGCCTCTGCACTGCCTTTGAGCATGACATACACTCTAGCTTAGGCAAAGCGGCGCGGGTTGAATGGCGTAATATCTTTACACGTCCAATTATGGACCGCCTAAACCATAACCTACCTGGCGCACGTCTAACAGCTGCAGACGTCCTTACCTTTATGGAGCTATGCCCCTTTAATACAGTTGTGAACGGAGAAATGTCACAGTTCTGTAACCTCTTTACGCTAGAGGAGTTTCTGGACTTTGAATACTACCAGACACTGGATAAATATTACCGCTTTCACGAAGGGAACCCGCTTGGGCCGACGCAGGGTGTAGGTTTCACTAATGAGCTTATTGCGCGTCTAACGCAGAAGCCTGTGGTCGACCACACATCAACCAACTCAACGCTTACCTCAAACCCAGCGACATTCCCACTTAATAGGAAGCTATACGCTGACTTTAGCCACGATAATGATATGTACAGTATCTATGGCGCACTAGGCCTATACAGCAGGACACCAAGGCTATCTACAACACAGCGGATGTCTGTGTCAGAGACCAGGGGGTTTTCGAGCAGACTGGTGCCTTTCGCGGCGCGCATGTACGTAGAGAAGATGAAGTGTAACTCTCTGGAGGAGGAAATGGTACGTGTGCTTGTTAACGACCGGGTGGTACCGCTGCTTGGGTGCCAGGCCGACAATCTCGGGCGGTGCCGGCTGAGTCCGTTTGTGGAGAGCTTGGGGTTCGCGAGGCGCGGTGGGCATTGGGACAGGTGTTTCTAGTGATTAATAGCTATATTAGGGCTTTTTCCTGTCACAGCACATCGATACGGCGATAATCCTTGTGTGTGTGTGTTATATGACTATCACCTATTTCCGCTATAAGCGGCAGCTAGGGGTAGAAATGCCCTTGTTAGGTGGGCCTGCCCGGGTAGACAGTTCGGGGGGGGGTATCCGGCCAGTGGGGCAAAAGTTTAGGGGGGGGTAAAAGGGTTATACATACACTAGCTGTTACATAACTTTACGTAGTACAGTATAGTACTATAAGTTATTTTCTAGTATATATAAGTTATATATAGGACACTGCTTACTTAGTATATATATAGTATATACACTAGATATATAAGAAGAGGTAGATATAGAGGTAGTTAAAAGGGTAGTTAAAGGGGTAGTTAAAGAGGTAGTTAAAGAGGTAATATAGATAAGATAGCTAATAAATTAACTAGATAAGAAAGTAAGTATATAAGGATAAATAGATTTTAGTATATACTTAGCCTTAGTAAACTATACACTAGGCTTATGCCTAATTTCTTCTCTATCTTTATAGATATACTTAATAATTTTAGTAGTAACTTTAGCCTTTATACTTATACGTTACCTATTTAGTCCTTAACCTTATCTAATAATAAGGACTAAATAGATAATATAGGGTATAATAGTGTTAATAAAGATAATACTAAGGGGAGTAAAGAACGCTTAGCTAGTACTTAGTATATACTAAGTAGATAGCTAAATAATATAAGTTATCTTAACCTTATAGATCTTAATTACTAAGTAGAATAGGATACTTACTAGCTTAATAAATACTATTAGGGTTAAAGAAGAGCTAATACCCTAGATTTACTATTTAAGATAGGCTAGACTTAGGTATTCTCTTAATATATACCTTATATATACTAGCTATATACTTAGTATATACTTATTATTCTTTAGGAATCTCTTTAGTAGTTTAGTATCTTTCTTAATTATAGAAGTAAAAAGAAAATAATAGTAATATTTATTAAAGACTATCTTACCTCCCCTCTTTATCTAGTAACCTTACCTTTTAGTATTTTTTACTATATTATATTATATTAATATACTTAGGATACCTTAAAGGCTAGTGCCTAGTAGCTTATTTAATAGCTTTTAGATACTATTTAGTACTTAACTAAGTATAAGGAGTATATATCTAAGTAGTTATGCTTAGTACTAAGGTAACGTATTCTTAGTATATCTTACACTAGTAGTAAGTATATACTAATAATATACTAAAAATAACCTAAAGAATAATAAAGTCTAGTACTAATCCCTTTAATATAGTAGTATAAAGCACTATAAATTTACTTATAAGTCCTTTCTAAGGCCTAATAAGTATTTTAATAAGGGGAAAGTTATTTAAATACACTAGGCTATAAGGGAAAAAGTAAAGAGAATAGTAATTACCTTAATAATTACTAAGGATATCTAGTGCTAGACTAAAGTGTATATTACTAATATATTTAGTATATACTTTATATATACTTACTATAGATTATACTAACTCTTACTAGATTCTTTAAGTTAATTAAGAAGTATTAGAAGCCTAATAAGCTATACTAGTAGCTAGGTTAAGGTAGTAACCCTAATACTAATACTTATAGTAGACAGCCCTTCTAGGTGTTTACTTAGAATAAGGTAAGTATAAGCCTAGTATATACTATACTATAGTAAGATATATTTTAATATTTATAAGTAATATTTATTAGGTGCTTATAATTAAGTAATACTAAGACTTAGTATACTGCTTTTTTAATTCCTTAGTACTAAAGTTAAATTAATTTTAAGTATTTATAGTAGCTTTACTTTATAGGCTAGTTATATAGCTAAAGAAATAAGTACGTCTAGGTTAGGAAGATATCTAGTATAAGAAAAATATATAGTAAGTATATACCTAGTATATCCCCTATATATTTATAGTATAAGCTAAATTTCTAGGCTTCTAATATCTAGTGTTTATTAGTAGTAGATCTATCTAAAAGTATATATATAGTGTTAAGATAGATATTTATATCCTTATTAACTAAGTATACTTCCTATTTATTCTCCTCCTTTATAGAGGCTTATATACCTATATCTTACCTTTACTAATAACTTTTTCTTCTTAGTTATTATAATAACTTATACTTAGCCTTTTAAAGAAGCTAGATATTATAATATTAACTATATATAAGCTTTATATCTACTAGATATTTATTTAGTATATACTAAGTATATATAAGGATACTACTTATAAATCTAAAGATTTATAAGGTATACTATAGGTTTAAGATAAGTATACTTTAGGCTATTTATACTGCTTTATAGAATAAGAATATTATTAGTGTCCTTATTTATAAAGCCTGTCTTCTTAAGTTTCTAGCTAGTTCTAGCTATATAAGTAAGTAATATATAATAAGTATATACCTTATATACGTTAGATATATACTAAATATATACTAGGCGTTACTTAGGAATTTACCTTTAATAAGATAAGGTTAAAAAAAGACTAATAGATTTATAGTATTATTAAAATAGTAAATAATAGATTTATTATTATTTATATTAAGTCTACTTAAGCTAAGGCCTTTCTAAAGGCCTAGTTCCTTAAGGTAGATATAGCCTTTAAGATAGTTAAGGGAGAAATTAATACCTTTAAGATTTATAGTTAGAATATAAAAACTTAGAGTACGTTAAGTATATACCTAGTATATACTAAGGGTATTTACTAACTATACCTAGAAATTAACTCCTATATCTATATATAGACTAATACTTATTTAAGAGATAGGTATAAGTAGCTCTTTAGAGAATACTTTAGCTGCCTTTATAAGGTAGCTAGTTCCTAAAGGGATTAGTATTATATTAATCTAACTAAGAACTTTCTTATCTATACTATTATAATAAATATAAATAAGAAATAAGCTAGAGGTATACTTACTATATTCTAGGTATATACTTTATATATACTAACTATATACTAGGCCTAGGTAACTACCTTACTAAAATTAACCCTTTAAGAAGCTAGGAGGAGCACCTTTACTATATCCTTATATTCTATAAGGTTTATATACGCTATAACTAGTAAAAGAAGTTCCTTAACTATATAGCTAAGTATAAGCTTTAGAGACTATAGGAATTAACCTTATCCTTAGTATATATAGAGTATATTAAAGGTATAACCTCTTAATATCTTAAGACTAAGTTATAGTTTAAAGGTAAAAAAGTAAAGTAGATTATATATAGGCTTATACTTAAAATAAGTAATATTAACCTAAAGGTAAAAGTTCTTACTAAAAAGTATAATAATATTATTAAGTCTAGTTATAGCTAGGATAACTTAGTAGTTAGGAGATAGTTATAACTTTTAGCTGCTATACTATAGTTAGGTATACCCTTTATATATCCTTAGTATATCCTTAGTATATACTAACTATACTTTAGGCTTAAGTAATATGTTTTTTAGAAAGTAGTAAAGGTATAAGTAGAAATTTATACTAGTATTTAATCTTTATAGAGGAATAAAAGCTAAACTGCTTACTACACTAAAGCTCTTAAGAAAATATAAAAAAAGTAAGCTATATAAGTAAAGTAACACTAAAATAACCTTACCTTTCTCTTCAATCTATATAACCTATTTAATACACTATTACTAAGTGTTAAAGATAGTAGTGTTATAAATAAAGAGGATAGTGTTTTAAAGAGAAGTAAGACTATACTTAGTATATCTAGAGCTAGCTCTAAGTATATACTAAGTACGCCCTATATATTAACCCTACTTATATATAGCCTATCTTTTATATTATTACTACTACTACTAGTATTATCTTTACTTATATCTTATTTTTATTTATAAAAGTAAACCTTATATACTTAATTAATAAGCTAGTAAGAGGTTTCTACCTTTATATAGAGGTTATAAGTTTATTCTTAGTAGTAGTATATTTATTTTAAAAAAGAATAAGATAAAGTTTAGATTTAGGAGTTATAGTATAAGGTAAAGCGCCTAAGGTATAAGAAGTAGATTTAGGATTTAAAAGCAGAAGTAGTATAGCTTAAGTAAGACTTAAGGAGAGGTTAAATTTAGTATATTACTAGTATATATATAGTATATACTTAATACTATTTTAATTATTATTAACTAACTTATAGTACTAACTTAGTATATACTAAAATATAACTTAGGTTATTTTAAACTTTAATCTATTTTAGGTGTATTATTAGGTTATACTTAGTATATACTTATAATATATATTATACCTTCTTAGCTTAGGCCTAAAAGGTTCTTAGTATATACTTAGATACTACCTTCCTCTTTAGTTTACTTAAAGAAAATAGCCTTCTATAGACCTTAGGATCTTATTAAACGTTAGCTATATATATACTAAGGGTGTGTCTAGGGGATACTATATATAGGTCTTATAGGTAGTAAGGGTAGCTAGGGCCTTACCTTTCTTCTTAGGAGCTAAATAAATTAGTGTTATATATATACTAGGGATACACTTTATATATACTAGCCTACTTCTTAAGGGGGGGGTAAGAAGCTAAGGTAGGCGACTTAAGGCTCTCTTTATAAGGATAGCTAAGGCGCTATAAGATTAATTATTAGTATATATAAGGTATATACTAAGAAGATATATAACTTATATTCTTATACTTATATAAAGAGACTAAAGTTATAGTATTATCTTACTTAATTATTAGTATATATAGTTATAATATATATTAAGTATATACTTACCTTATTTTTTATATTTACTTAGTTAGGATTAGTTTAGATCTAGCGTAAGGTTATTATAAAGTCTATAATATAAGATATTATTTTAGTATACTCTTAGTATATATATAGCTTACGCCTTACTTATTAAAAGTAAATACTAATATATTTTTTAATATATTTTTTATAATAACCTTATACTAAAGCTTAGTAGCACTATATAGTAGCTAAAGTGTATTAGTAATATAAAGGATAAATAGTAAAATAAATAGTAAAATAAATAGTATTCTCTAGGGTAATACTAAGTATATATTTAAAGTATATATATATAGGTTAATAGAATTAAGTTCTATAAGTAGCTATAAAGGCAGTATTATTATAACTATAATCTAGTGTTAGCTTAGTATATATATAGTATGTACTAAAAGAGACTTATACTAATTCCTTTATACTATTATAATAGATATAGAGAAAACTACTGTTAGGTCTAATACTGTTTACATATTAGCTATATATATACTAAGATAGTACTAGGGATATACCTAGGCTTATAAATATAGTTTATATTACGCTACTAACTAAAGTAAATAAAGTTCTAGATAGCCTTAGTATATTATTAGTATATACTCTCTTAATACTATAACTAGCTGTTATATATACTTAGTATATATAGTTTACTAGCTGCCTCTTTAGTAATAGTAGTGTTAGTATAGAGGTAATTTTTAACTAGTGTATTATTAGTATATACTTAGTATATACTATATATATATATATACTAGCGCCTAGGTAGGTAGTACGTATATAGTAGTAAAGCTAAGTACTATATTAGCCTATTCTAAGTATATACTTAGGATATACTTATAGCTAGCTAGGAGGTATAAATAGTGCTATATATAATATTAGTATTAAGATTAATAACTATATTATAACTAAAATTAAGGTTAGTATATACTTAATTTATACTTTATATATATTAACTTATACTTTAGTATTAATAGTAAAAAGCTTACTTTTTATATTTAAAGCGCCTAAGTATATAGTTAGTATATACTAGTAGTATTTTTAGTTTATATTAAGTTAATAAAAGAGGATTTATTTTTATAGTAATAGTGTTTATTAGGAATAAGATTAGTATATACTTAATATATACTTATATTAATCTAAAAACTTATATATATAGCTAGCGTTATAGGCTTTTTAAACCTATATATAATTTAAGTTAGTGTTCTATATATATACTATATTAGTAAGGATATAAGCTATACTAGCTAGAATATAGTTAGGGTTTAGGTTTAAGATAAGGCCTATATTAAATTAGTATATATTATATTACTACTTAATAAGGATTATATATATACTTACTATAGTAGTGTCTATAAGTAAAAAGGTTATATATATTAGTAATACCTAGGTTTATATAATTAGTAAATATCTAGAATATTATTAGTATATACTTTAGATATAGTAAGAATATATTAAGAATTAATTATAAAAATACCTTAGTTATGCTATAGTAGTAATTATAAATTTATAGTGTTTTTAAAAAAAAAGAATTAAAGTAAGAAATTTTCTTAGTAAGAGTTTAGTATATCCTAAGTATAAGCTAGCGCTAGGCCTAAAGTAGAGATAGTAAATAAAGTTATATAATCTTAGTTATAGATTTTTTACTATACGCCTATAGGCAAAAAGCCCTAATATTTATATATATTACTTTTATATAATTAGTTAGCCCTACCTCTTTTACCCCCCCCCGAACTTTTGCCCCACTGGCCGGATACCCCCCCCCGAACTTTGAATACCCCCCCATGAGCAGGATCCCCGGCCTGCCCAACCAACTAAATGTTGGCAACATTCGCCCCACCGCGGGCCACATTTCACGTGCCCGGGTACACATAAGAAACGCCCACGCTTTGACACCGTCACCCAACTATAAAACCACAACGTCACTTTATCGTCAATCCTCGTCTGACCAAGCGTTCTGATCATTCTTGATGGCCGCGCGCACTGGCACGGCAGCCCGGAGAAAGTCCTCCTTTCTAAATGCGCTCGGCCAGCCGTACTCGCGGTACAAACTCTTGATTGCCCGTTGATACCTGTTAGACAACTTTGCGGTGGTGGATCGATCGGGGGCGTGGCGTGGGCAGCATCATCAGAACTCACCTTGGCTTCCGCGTCCTTCGGGGCACAGATGGCGGCACCGAAATTCCCTGCTGCTGGTGCCGGGACCAGCTTTAGGGACAAGATTTTATGATGCATCTTGTTGAAGAACGTCTTGAACGAGAGGGCCTTTACGCCAAGCTACGACTTGTCCTCTTCTGCCTTAGGTAGCGCGTTGTTGTATAGATAGTAGTTATCTCCTTAGGGGTAGACACATCCTATAGGTTAAGGTAAAGCAAATCCTCTGTTGGTATGCTCTATAAAATAAATTAGAGGAAAAAAGATATAGGGAGATAGATCTAACCTTACTCTATATTAATCACCTAAATCACACTATTAACCTCTGCCTCCCTGTGTATAGTACGCCGGGTTCGGAAGACAAAATGCGACAACGTGCAGCCGACATGTGAATTTTGCCAGCGGAATGGCGGCCACTTACTTGCCCTAACACTTCAAATGAGCATTCAGCATCCTTCTCGAACTTTCTTTTGCACGCATTTTCGGGTTTCTAATTTAACCTTTGTTGGACCGGAATTTTGACCCCACAAGCTTAGCGATTTTAGATGGCATCAACCATGTTATCTCGCTTTTGCGGATGCTACTTGAGGATATGAACTCGATTGTAGTATTGTTGTAACGATCATTGTTTCTCACACCCATAAACGAGCCTCAAACTAGTATGAGCGCCGCTGAAAACGCAAATACAGACCATACCACAAATAGTTTACCTGGGGATGGCATTGCGATTCGTTTTGGCATTCAAATCCATAATTTGCAAGTCCTAATCACGAGGCAAGTTTCAGATGGTCAATCTTCGAAGATATTGCTCCCAACATCAAATTGCCTATTCTTGAGTCCAAGGGAATGACTTGAATGTCGCGAAAAGGCTTCTTGGTATACATGCTGTTGAAGAATTCAATACTCGATGTTAAGGACCTCAGGTGTTATGTCAGAGATACAGCTGAATGTAGGTTGCGATGGGACGGGCCCTCATGTCCTGCGGCGAGTTGAAAGTCGGCAGGGGTTCGATATCTTGCCCATTCCTAGTGACTTATCAATTAGCTTGCTGCCTGTGCACCGACTTGCTTTGCAGGCCCCTATCAATCCGAGCCCAGCTACAATGGTACGCCGGAATCAACTCCGGCTCCCGCTTCACGTTCCACTGGTCCGGACACAGCTCTTGCTTATCATCTCGCAGCAAAGAAGCAGATAGGGCCATTGAAGTCAAGCATGCCTACTACAGGTGCAATGCCTATTTTTCTTGGTGTTCTTCGAATGTATATCTTTCAACTGCTTTAGACCCGGTTCTACTTCAACCAGGATTGTGTGCAATTCAAAAATCTGCTGTAGCACTATAATCAACGAAACCCGCGAATGACTGCACTAAACACGTCGTCTCGAGCCAAGGCTCTACTGGTTCTTTATGAAGCGTCAGTGGTGACATTCATGAAACAGTATAAGTGCGGTTTACAGAGAAGTTAGAGCATACCCAAGTACAATGGTTGGCCACAATGCAAAACCCCATGGCATTCGAGTGGCATCACCTGTCTGGGCTACCACGACTTATTCGCCTCCTTCCGAGATTGCTTCCCCAGCTGCTAAGCCAAGCGAAATGGATAGCCTGAAGGATGATGTTCAGCCCAAGGAATCAAATAGTCGATTTAAACTACCTGGCGGAGATCTCGTCGCGGAGAATGATCAATCGCGTGATGTCTTTCTTCAGCTACGATGACAGCAAGCATGGATTCGAGACGTAGCAAGAGCGGAAGGGGCTTGCTCACAATTCGAAGAAAGGCCTCGAAATAATTCCAGCGTCGGAATGGGATCTGGATGCTTGGATCATAACATGTGCTGATGTTTTCTAAGATGCTTGTACATACATTCCTTTTTAGATTGGGTGGCAGAACCAAGAGCTGTCCAACGACGAGCCCGTCCACTTTAACCAGAACCGTGCCGTCGACGAGCTGCTGCGAATGGATCAATCGGCATTTGTTCTAATACGTGGTGCATCAACCGCCAGATCATCAACGGATTCTCCGTGTCATGCTTCTAGCGGAGAGATGCCTCAAGCGGTCGATTGAGCTCCTGCTGGACGCTAACCCGCACCATCGCCATGACGGAACGTGGTTTACCGCCAGAGCGACAATGGCCCGTGCTTTGCGGTCTTGGCCGCAGTCAAAAGCGGTAAGTTCCTTGTACTGCCTGAGCGATGGAAACAAGCAGTCGGAGCGGCCACATGGGCTTTGCTGCGGGGGGTTATGGCGAAGCTCCGGATCCTGCGTAGGGCTGCGTCCGTGCTTCAGGACCTCATCGGTCAAGTCATCGGGGCCGGGGGGTAAAAGTGCCCGAAAGGAGTACTCGGCGTTGTCGCAAGCCACCTGTCAATTGAGTTATATTTCCATAAATGTATTCCATTCTTGACCCCGAAAGTGGCTTTAGTGTTCCACATCGTGGGCTTTTCTTGTTAAACTTGAGAAACGGCCGTCAGATGCTCTGATACTTTAACAGCTTACTGTAATCTGTTGGCACGTCGACTACGTGTTGGAACTGCAAACCAAACCTGCATACAAGTTTGCTGGCTTGTATATTATCATGCAAGTGCGAAAGAGTAGGTAGTGCAACAACGAAAACTATCTCACTCTGGATTGTTAGGAATCCTTTTCTTGAGCAACACACACATTTGCTAGTATGCATGTATGTCCAAGCGTCCTCATCTTGCAGACAACACAGTGTGATCAGTTATAAAACATTGCATAATTATTATCAAAGCCGAACGCTTTGCTGTCCAGTTGGCCAAGGACACATAGCAGCATTAATTTACGCCTGAAAGGCGACAAAATCGCAATAAGAATGTAAGAAAGGAACAGAAAAAGTCCATGTTGATTTATCTTTGATCTTTGTTCAACAAACCATACGGGAAGCCACTCCTTTGGGCTCCAAGCGTTAACTAAGTAATGCAAGTCTTGTGTCGACTCTCCAACTTCCGTGTCTTAGCTGGTAGGCCGCATGCTACTCCCTCTTCCCCTTCCCATGTGATCCTCTGAGACACCCTCTATCTAGCCTAGGGGGCCACGTTCTATTGACGCTTGCCGGCGTCATTCATGCAAGCCTCTTTTTCAACTTGGATCTCCCCGGGCTTCCTCACCTTGTTCCGGTTGTATCCCGCATTCGCGCATCGATTAAACTTGTTGCTTGGCCCAGGCCGAACACCTGCCTGTCAACTTAGCTCCGTTTCGGCTGCCTCCGGTCGGACGTCTGTTCGCGGGAAACGCTCGGTCAGCCAACCGGCCTGTTTCGGCAGCTAACGACGCGATGATGAGTGCAAGTTGAATGCAACATGCCTCGTCTGCAGTTGCATCTGCGACCCAGAGGAACATTGCTATCGTTATTTCCAAGTAAACGGTTCAAAGAATCTTCAACCTCTGCAATAGCCGAACTCTCATTTGCCAGGCTTTCTACCAGTTGTTGTGCGGGCCCCAAGTCTTTAGCAGCTTGCTCTCTGTCTCTTTTGTTTGGGTGGTACTTGGTAGGCTTTTGTCCGGTTTTCGGATATTAATATCAGTGTTCTTAGAGCAGAATGCAAATAACACTCTTGAAAACCCGGCCGAAGGCACTGAACCCCCCCCCCCCCCCCCCCCCCCCCCAATTTTTTTTTAAAAAAAAAAAAGTGGAAAAAAAAAGGGGAAAAATTAATGGGAAGGCACCCCCTCATAACTTGTACTTTAGGTCGGATGTTCTATAAGAAGTGACCCCCCCCCCCCCCCCCCCCCCCCCCCCCAATTTCCATCTAAAGATAACAAAAGTTGGAAAAGAAAGGCGTAAAATTGAACGGAGTAGGTCTGTCGGTGTACACGTCGTCGCGTGACCGAGCGTTTCTAAGTACCTGGGATGATATGGATAAAGCTCAGCCACACCAAAAAAGAAAAAGGTGGGATGAAGCTATTGTCACGCCGCCCTCTCGGGGTCCTTGTTCCAGTCGGCCTCCTTCACCCGGACATATTCTCATACAACCAACCACACTGACCTCTTCTTAGCTACATCTCCCTCAAAAGGGTTTTCTACAGCTTCCCCCCTCCCTCTACCCCAACTTTCACTTTCCTTCTTCGCCGTTGATCGTGCATCTTCCCCTACAGCCACAAATTCATCCACCGCTGAAGAAACACAGTGTATCCTATCTCGACATAGGTCTAATACCTGTCTGGCCCAGCACACAGCATATCCTTAGGGACAGTTCACCAACCACTTCCGGCTGGTGCACCCGTCATGTCATCATACACATCGTCAAGATCTACGAGGTCTTCAAGATGCAGCTGTGATGATTGCGTGGATTACAGGTATGAAAGGACCTGTCACGTAGACGGATGCTCCAGAAAACATGCCTTTATACGCATCGACCCTGCCAGACCCGACATCCGAATCTATTCGGACTTTTGCGTCGATCGTTAGTTATCACTCTCGAATCTAGGCATCTACAAAGCTGACGGTGACTACCTAGATACTTGCAAGTACTGTATACTCGGATTAGAGATGTGCAGTCGACCAAAAGACCCTCTTTACCGCTTCTGCGATGACCGTAAGTCCTTTCCGCCCTTCACTCTCTGGTGGAAGTTCCCTAATTTCTAAGCAGACCGGAGATGTGGGGTGCCGGGCTGCGATCGGACCGGCGATTGCCTACCGGGCGTGCCCTTGCCGTGGAAATGTCCGGAACGTGAGTTTCAACCGCTCTGAAGCGTAAGCCATGCATGCCACTAACGCGCAGTATGGACAGACCAGTGCTACGTCGACAACTGCTACCAGACCAGAGACAAGCTGTACGGGTATTGCCCAGACCACCGATGTCTGGTACCGAGCTGTTTCGAGACACGAGTTATTGACTCTGAGTACTGTGTTGACCACGTTTCTACGATATGCCGGGAGCCGAAATGCCGAGAAGTTGTGCATGCCGATCATCGCTGCTTGATACACCAGAAATGCACTGTGAAAAAGTGCAAGAATTTCAGATTCAAGAAATCAGATGGTGGTTATTGGGACTTTTGCGAGCAGCGTAAGGCGCCTTGATATTTCGTTTGGGGGGGTTGTGACACGATATTAATGCTGACTGAGTTATAGACTACGCCGAGAACTGCTGTACCTACAAAGGCTGCAAAAGCATTTGCGTTTCAGGTTGTCGATCATGTGCGGTTCATAAGTGCACATACGAGGGCTGTCTTAATTTCCGATACAACGAAATCGATTCGAAAAGAGTCTTCTGCCGAGATCATGGTTGCGGCGCAGTAAATTGCTACGCAGTGGCCGTCAGTCTGGATGGGGGTGGGTTCAGCCCCTTCTGTCACAGACACACCTGCACTATAAAAGGATGCGTCGAGATTGCCGACTTTGGAGTTCACTGCCATCGCCATCGCTGTCACTGGAAGTCCTGCGAAAAGCCTTGCTTGGCAGGAGGAGAGTACTGTGCGGATCATGAGTGCAAAAGGGCTGGATGCCGCAAGATCGTCAAGATTCAACTCGGCTACTGTGATGAGCACTGCTGCAAGATTGACAAGTGCCTCAATTACTGCGATGTCACGTCAGAAAGCATCTGCTTCGAGCACTCGAGGGAGGATCAGTTTCGGCGTATCAAACATTTAGAGGAAAAACTACGAGAGCAACAGTACGATTGTGGTCCTCCTGAACACTATGACCACCCTTATTTCAACGATCTCCAGATCCGTCACGACAAGCTTATCAGAGACTATGACGACTGTCTGATCAGACTAAACGAGGCCCGAGACGAGGTTCGCATTCTACGCAACACATGGATTTCGGGGGAGGACAGTCGCCTGTGGAGGCAAGAAATCGAGGAATGCAACGCACGGTTACTTGTGGACTTGGAGCGAGAACAGAAGAGAACCGAGCACTGGGAGCGCAAAGCGATCGAGCTTGGCCGAAGGATTGATGACCTCGAGTGCGTATTGGAAGAAGAGCGGCTAAGACACCCAAAGTCTGATGAATATGTGCGACAGATCGGGGACCTCGTTCGCAAGGTGGAGATACTCGAGGAAGAGCTCCGCATCGAGCGATGCAACAACCACTTGTACGAAGGACGACAGCACGAGGTTGAGAAACTGCTTTGCACCATTGAGGAGCTCGAGAGGAAGCTCAAGGGGGATCACTACAAGATAGACGAGCTTATCAGGAAAGTGGATCTGCTGCAGTCAATCCTCGCTGGCGAGAAGGAAAAAAGAGAAATTCTTCTCGAAGAGATCGCCAAGCGCGATGATTGCGAAAGGCTGCGACGAGACGATCGTCGTCGACCTAGGAGAGGAAGCTGGGAAAGGAGGTCACGCGACTCGCGCCCTTGGGGCAGCGTTTACTGAAAGCCGAGCTCCCCAGGCCTTCCATTTGAATCTCGGTAGGGATAGGACGCACTTATCTTTTCTTACGACACATATGCATCATGGGCGTTTGATCCTGGTTTGAAGGACGGTTATTATCCCTAGAATTTTCCTGTAAAACTTAAGATGGCTTGGAACAGCCAGTAAAAAATACAACTCAATTACGAGATAATTGGACCGAATTATATATGGTTTCGGGGTTATTCTCAATATCATCCTTTCTTCTGTTAAGTCACTAGAATGGCTCTCATGGTAACAAAAGATGAGGACTCAACGCCGGATGGCACACGGAGAAATATTAAGTCAGATTGTTCAAGAATAAACTATTAGACGCGCTTATTGATTGTATCATGATTGTTTGTTCCTATCTGTGGCCGCGAAGTTGCTTCATACTATTGAAATCAGTTGCTGCTGGTCTTCCAAAATATTTGAGATATTCACATTGAAGACATGGAGGCCCTATCCCGCAGCACTTATTTGATATCCAGAGACCTATATCTGTCATACAGTACAAAGTGTCTTTGAAGAACAAGTCGAGGAAACAACGGACTGTTGCACTGTTTTGTAGAACAAAACCGAGTCCGACACAAGGAACACAACAATGCTGCTTCAAAGACCCCAATACAACTATAGTACAGCGTCTTTGTGAACTATGTTATCATTGATTGAAAGACTTAAACCGACTCTGGAGCTTTCTTGAAGTATAATAAATAAGATGATTCCTTCGTCACGTCAGCTTCCATTCAATCCATCCCCAAACCATTCAGCACAACAACATCCATACTGTCATCAAACTCTTCCAAAGAACCCAGCTACATCTGAACAGTTTCCCGATTCAAAATGTGCCGAACGCCACGACACTTGCACGTCTGCCCATGCCCCAACCCGAATTGCCCTCGGCGGGACAATGACCCTATGACGGCAGGAATGCTCCGCCCTGGCAAAGGGCATGTCTTATGGTCCGAGGTTCAGCCACAGACCTGGGACTACTGCGACAGATGGTTTTACGAACAGCCATACGATGTCGTTCTGAATGCTTTCATTGACCCCAAAGACTACTGCCCATACTTCACTTGGAGGAACATGAAGCAAACTGACCCAATATGTCAGGAATGTCTCCAAGAGACAGCTCAAATGCAAGAAGAAAAGTTGGCCAGGCTCCGTGCGCGTTGGGACGACTCGCGGGTTGCGGTGCCCTATCAGTTTATGCCGTCTCATTTCAAAAATGCGGATGCACAGACTACCCAGGCTCAAGGTCGACATGCTAATCTTTCCCGGGACGGGGTTCAGTTTGCCTACACAGGAAACTCTAGTGGCAGCGCCAGTGGCAGCACCGCCAGAGACAACATTGGAAGTATGCAAGCAACTCAAAGTTATGGCCAGTATCTTCCTGGCTCTTCATACCCATCAACCGAGCCGAAAACTCGTGAGCAGCTGCTACAGAGAATCAAGTTTCTCAACGAACAAATTGGAAGCCTTGAAGCGCTTGAGGAAAGACCGAACCCGCCTCCAGGGAACAGCCTGAGAACCTTTGGCGTCACAAACACAAGAAACCCCTTTGACAACGTAGGAAAATCAGGCAAACCCGCGATAACAGCTGACAAGTCATACCGTCACAGACCAACTTATGGCCCCATTGGTCAGGGTGGTCTACGGCAATTGGTGCAGAACAGTGAAGCTGACAATAGTTATGCTCCGACTTCGAATCCTTTTGGCGTCGTCGGACAACGACAGAATCCTCCAGGGAATGGCGGTGGCTCAGGTTCTCAGAACTCTTAACCATGATCGTCGTTGAAGCAATGAGAAAACATCAAAGATTTGAGAGTGTTGGAATGAGTTGAATTGCAAGGATTGCACTGGATTGCGTCATGATTTGAAGAAGAGCTTAGAAAGGGAGCAAAAAACTTGACCGGATTTTTTGAACGACTTGGGTAGTTTTCTGGTGTTTTTATTTGAGGCTTTTCAGAAGTAGCTCTTCGATAGTTTCCTGCCTTGGAATGCATGAGAAATCTGTTCTGACCACAACGATTAGTGTGAGTTGAACTTTTGTGCCCAGAGCAACTCTCGCTCTCAGAAGCTCACATGAATAGTTCTGGCACCATTGAATGAGAACTCTATTCAACTTGTACGATCAATCTTTTGTGATCATACCCCTTTTATTTGAGGGGCCTTTGGCCATCGCGTTATCAATCAAGATCATGGACAAGCAAGATTTATGCGTTGCTCACCTACGGGACCGAGAAGGTGTGCTTAGTCATCAATGGCACCAGTCCCCCGAAACCCGTCGCGTCAAATCATCTTCGGGTCGCTATCAGTCCTGATACATAAACCGCAAGACATACTCGGTGGCGGAATCATGCCGTCTGCTACGCAGCTTATAGACGAGAGCATCTCTTGTGCCGCCACTGGTGCGTCAGCGGCCGCGTACAGGCAGCGGAAAGCTGGTATCAGGGCCTTGCTCGCGCTCGTGCTCCTCGTCAATCTGGCTGCTAGCCTGTACCAACTCCCCCTGAGCAGGGTGATCGAGCGCCGGCTGTGTCGTGAGCACTATCTGATCGCGGACCCATCGGTCATCGATCGAGATGGCAACGTCGAAGAGCGCCTATGCAAGGTTGACGGCGTCCAGCAGGGTCTGGCCTGGATCCAGGGAACCATGGAGACTAGCTGGATCGTGGGTGGTGAGCATAGACTCGCGCCATCTGATAAGCGCTTCGCAGCTAACGACCTTTAGATTTCGTCATGACGATTCCCCTGGGCTTTCTCGCCGAACGATATGGGCGGCGCACCATCCTCTGTCTCAATCTTGCCCCCCGCATCGTCATGCTGGCGTGGGCCGTCATCGTGGGCTATTTCGAACAGATCATGCCAACGAAGGCCATCGTTGCATCGCCGTTTCTATCCGTACTGGGTGGCGACTGTGTTTTCAACTCAATCACATATGCAATTGCATCTGGCATCACGGATGATCACGTCCAACGGTGAGTTGGACCTAGGTTTGAAAGCCTTACTTGGGGCATGTTTGTACTGACTGGGCCATCAAGTGCCACATACTTTGGATGGATGAGCTCTGTTTCATATGTTGTCAACTTGCTGGGTCCGGCCCTTGCATCGGCTTCTATGAGTCTACTTCTATGGCTACCGTTCTGGATCGGCATATCCCTCCTTCTTTTGGCCATCCCGGCCATATCTTTCATCGGCGACTCACCCGAGAATCACTCTCGTGCTTCCGTATCCCGGAATACGGATGATCAAGCGAGGCCTCTGTTGTCGTCTCCTGTTCTGAAAGCCCAAGACGCCGAAGCATCTCTCCTACGGTCTATCGTCCAGCGTTTCGGTGCCTTGCGATCCATCATCGCGAGTCACCCACGCAACATGAGTCTTCTTCTCATCAGCTTCATCCTCACGTCTCTTGCAAGCTCAGACACCAAGCTGTTGGTGCAGTACATCTCCAAGAGGTATGGTTGGACGTTTGCTTCCACAGGCTATCTCTTGTCCGCCAAAGCTGTGGTCAACTTTACACTGCTTACAGTCATCGTTCCCGCAATCTTACGTTCTGGCCAGAAGAGGTCGCTTCATATCCCCCCCGAAGTGGTCAGCCACCGTATGAATATGTGCTATGCCAAGATCTGTTTGGTAATCTCTATACTTGGTGCTTTAGCTATAGCCCTGGCCACACAGATCTGGATGTTGGTGCCGTCGCTGTTTCTTTACGCTCTCGGCTCCGCCCTCCCGGTCTTCACCCTCTCGTTGCTCAAATCACCTTACGTCGCTCCAAAACGGAACGAACGAAGTCTGGATATGGTCGATCCTGAATCACATGTCTTCTCTATCGTCATGATGGTCAAAACTTCAGGATCACTGTTAGGCGCGCCTCTAATGATGGTCCTCTGGGTTCGAGGCATCTCATTGGGTGGCGCCGCATTGGGAATCCCGTACTTTGTGTCCGCTAGCTGTTATATTGTTGCCCTTGCTGTACTCTCGAGCATTTCCGGTAGACAGAGTTAGTACTTTTCCAAGTAATACTGGCATTGAATGAGGCCCTCCTCCGATAAAAACATCGGCGTGCGTCCTGACAGCGCGCGGATGCTTAAGGGGAAACTCAGACGGTATGCTCAATGCAAATATTTGATAAACGACTATTACAGCAAGTGACTCTGCCGTCAGGTGTGAGACCAGCCCACTCATGGAGCACAAAGTAGAACAGAATCTATGTGGACTAAGACTCTGCCATGTGATACCAAACATGAGTCCTGTTACAAAGGTCCTCAAATACAAGACGGACCTAGGATCTCGCTAGAAAAAACACGCATGCAATTCCCCAGCCCGCAGACTAGGCGTCGAATTAAATGCTCATAACGCCCAAAGGCCTCATCAAATCTTGGTCTGAGCAATCTCTGCTCTGCCGTCTACCCTCATGTGCGTCGTCACTCTGTATCTTCTAGATGGCTCTAGCACAGCTCCTTGTTGGTTTCTAAGGGTGTCGCTTCGGGTGTAGCAATCACCTCGGGGGTGGAAGTTCCCGAGTCCATCTTGTCGTACCCTGAGGAGTCGAACGTCTTGTCTGTGTTGACGCTTCTGTCTGAATCGACACTGGTCTCCGATTTGGAGTCTTCGTTGACCTCCTTGGTCGCGTCATGATCGTCCTTCTGGTCAAATTCTTTGACGTCTGCCTGGGCTACGGAGACGGTCTCAGACCCAGTCTCGTCTTGCGGCTTCGCAGACTCGGTCTTGACGTCGTCCACCATGCTGTTAGCTCCCAGCTTCTCACGCTCTCCGCCAGCATTGACCTGCGCATTGTCAAGGTCGGCTTCGCCCTTCTTGCCCATACCGCCCTCTTGGAGCTCGCCGCCCTCCATGACGACATGTACCTCGAGATCCTCGTCCATGGAGTAGACGCGGACACCGACGATACAGATGGCGTTCCAAGGATCGGGTAGCTCCTCCTCCTCAGACTCGTAGCGCTCGTCGCGAGTCTTAGGTGGACCTGAAGGAGTAAGACGTGGCTTTCTGACCATGTCATCATCACTGTACAACTCCTCCCAGTCTTCGATTGGCGAGTCCGATGAATCGTCAGCCGAGTCGTATTCAACCCTCTGGGCCGGTTCTGGAGCTGGTGCAGGCTGGGCGACGGGCTTCCCATCAGCCGCATCTTCCTTGGGCTCGCCCTTGGACACTGTTTTGGAGTCACCCTCCACGCCGTCTTTGGCATTGTTGTCCGAAACGGACTTGTCGTTTTCCACCTCTGTTGGCTTCTGACTCTGTTCGGAGGAGCCGGCCTCATTCTGGTCAGGCTTGGCCTCCTTGGGCACTTCCTTGACAGCATTCGTCAGAACGGCCTCGTCATTGGACTTCTCTGCCTCTGTCGTCTTCGTCTCCTCTTCCCTCTCCGTCCCGGCTTCATCCTTTCTCTTGGCATCAGTATCTTTCTTTGCTTCTTCTTCGGCCTTTTGCTTGGCTTCTTCTGCTAGTTCGTCTTCCTTCTTCTTGGCTTCTTCTGCTCGTTTCTCCGCTAATTCGTCTTCCTTCTTCTTGGCTTCTTCAGCATTCTTCTTGGCTTCTTCCTCGGCCTTGACCATTTTGCGATGTCGTTTCTCATTGTTTTTCTTGGTCTGCCTCTTGGTAATCTCGCGGTTCAGATGACGCCTCTCCCAGAGCTTGCGACGCTCCCTTTGGCGGGACTCTGACGCCCGCTGCTGCTCCTTGACCTTGCGCAAACGAGCAACCTCTTCGAGGTGCGCGGCGCCCTTGCTGTGAGCCAGGTCGTACGCGGATCCGACCTGGACCAGCTTGTCGTTTTCAACCCGCTTTCGGCACTCACGCTTCACGACGTCCTCGACAGAGGGCAAACTGGTGTCCCTCTCGCCGGTCACGCTCATGAAGATGCTGTACTCTCCAGCGGGCATGTCCGGCAGTTCAATGGAGACGGATCGATCCATGAGGTAGTTTCCGTGGGAGCGCACAATATAGTCCTCGGCGCCAGGGCGGCCACGCTCATGAATGCGGAAGTGGATGCGGAAAGAATATTGGCCCTGAAGCCCTTTGAAGTATCTGTTGTCCAGCTGAGAGAGAACCAGACAAAGCGGGCCGTCTTTAGTCAGTTTGATCTGGAACTTTTCGTTAAACTGCGACTTCCAGGGCACGTCGACGCCGATCCAGCGTTGAGCGCATCGCCAGGCGGGGTCTCGGAACAGCCGGGTTCGGTCGATGTGCTGATACTTGCGGAGGAAATCGTCGTAGTTGATCCAGAAAACGGAGTCGTTGCCGAAGTGATGGCCGAGCTCCTCCTGGACCTCCATGGTCCATTCCTTGGACCCGTCAGACCAAGCGCCCTCCCATACGCCTTTGCGGATCTTTCCCCAGGGGTTTCGAAGTTTGATCAGGCGCTCTCCGGACTTGAGCGTCCTAGCTTCCATGATTACGTACGCGTGACCCTCGGAGATGCCCTCCCTTTCGCCGTAGCCCCCGTCGAGAAGACCGGTAGAGCAACCAAAGAGGAACTCGTCGTTGACTTTGGAAAGCTCATTCACCCAGAAGCCATCGGTGTCAAGGATGTCAGAGGTAAGCAGCTCAGTGGTGACACCGCCAGAAAGGTCTTCCAAGCCCTCGCCGATCCAGCCACCAGAAAGAGAGGCGTAATCCCCATGGGCTTTAGCGTAGGCCTTCTCAAGTAGAGGTACCCAGGTCTCGTTCTGGTCCTTGCACTGGGCAAAGAACAGCGCCTTGGAACCGGTCTGGTACGTCTTGCGATAGACACGTTCCACATCCTCACGATCGATCTGCTGAAGGAGGTCTCTTTGCATGCTAGGCGAGTCCCAACAAGGAGATTTAAGGTAAAGCTTGTCGTCAATGATGGAGTAGATCCATTCTCCATCGCGGTAGAAAACGAAGCCGTAAATACCAATCCGAGTGTCGTATTCGACACAGGTGCGCTTGATGCCGCCCTCGACGTTAGCGAGAGCAGTCATGGTAGCCATGAGCCAACAGTCGCCCAGACTGCCCTGTTTAACGTCGCTGCCGTTGATATTCTTCATAAAAGTGGGCTTCTCGAAGATCTCGTGGACACGCTTGACAGCCTTGGGAACGGAAGCGCTAGGGTTCGAGAGGGTGGACCTTGAGAGCTGCCATTTCGTGTGGCCGAGGGTGTTAAGGCAATGGCCTTTCTCCCACTTCAGATCCCAATCCTAGAAGCAAAAAGTTAGCTGACTGGGAATAGCGTTGTTTTATTGTTATAGGCAGACTTACCAAATCCCAGCCGGGGTCTCGGTATCGCATATTGACTCTTCTGCACTCCTGTATGATCTTCCTGACCTTGCGGCGGCATTCTTCCGCGGCTCGCTCATAGCCGGCAGTCAGCAGCTCATTGGGCTTTTCGGAGCTCGCCGGTGGCGGCACAGGGTCGAAAGGAAGAACGGCGAGTGCCTTGTTAAACTTCTTGTCCTGGAACCTCTTCCAGATGTGGTTGATGGACGGCTGGGGAGGCGCCTTCTTCTTCTTCTTCTTCTTTTGGTCGTTGTTGCTATTCGATGCCGGGACGGGACGAGGGCGGCGAGGGTCATCCGACTCTTCTGAGGAGCTATAGCCGTGCATATTGGCGGTGGAACGGAGGATGCCGGGATGAAAGTTGGATAAGTCAATGGATCACGGCGATCAGGGAAGAGAATTAAGGACGGCAACGACGAGCAGGAGGCGGACAGTAAATATCTTCAACTGCCAGCTCGCAGGAAAAGCTCCTCCAGTCACTGTGTGGTGCGCGGGTCAGTTACGGCAAGATGGGACGAAAGGAGGGCAGCCTAACAAGGTAGCACGGACGGGCGATTCAGGCGAAACGGAACGAGAATGGGATATGGAGGGTATCTATTTGGGGGGGAGGGGTTGAACACGAGTCGTGAAGGGCGGATCCGGCTCGGGTTTATAAAGGCAAAGAGAAGATGGAGGGAGAGGGTACGAATAGATATCTGGCGGAGGGCCTCACCTAGTTTAGAATGCTAAGACCGGCAAGTGCTGGGTTTCTCCACGAACAAGTCGCAGCCTCGCGGGATGGATGGGACGATCGGAGGACAGGCATGAGTCGAGACCAGGGTGGCCGGAGGTCTGGCAAGCGGATGGCGTGCACCAAAAGGAGATGGAGGGCGGACATGATCCATTCACCACAACGAGGCGGCAACGGCGTCGAGTCGGAAGCAAGGAAGTGGTCTCGGGGGGAGGCTGGCGGCATCAAAACGCCAGGGCGGACCCCAACGACTTGCCTGTCGTGGCCAACATGAACATCGTCGTGCTGCTGCTGCTGCTGCTGCTGCTGCTGCTGCTGCTGCTTCCTCTTGTCACCCCTCAGAGTCCCCCTCCCCCAACATGTGCATCCATGAGCTGGGGCAGGTCAAGGGTTAATCTTGGCGTCGAGACTAGCATAGCCTGGTTCCAGGGTCCAGACAGCCAGACAGTGTCTCTTTGGGGTAGCGTACTTTGTAGGAGTAGGGGTCTCGTTCGTTCTGCATAGTCTATCGACGGCGGTGGAGAAGTGAGAATGGGTAGCAAAGAAGATGACGGGCGGGATGGCGTGTGTTGGACAAAGAGAGAAAGGCGTCGTACGGCTGGTTTCTGGACAAGATTTGGAGGCTGCGAGACGCGCCGGAGAAAAGGGTTGTGGAGGGACCGACACGGCTTCTGTGGGGTGGGTGGATAGGTATGCTAGGTACCTCGGCAGGTACGGATACAGGTATATACAGGGTGACAGGGGTAAGTAAAATACCCCTATGATGTTACCCCCCATAACCGACATCATGATAGAGGGGGAATATTCACCAAAAGTGAAGCTCTGCAGGAGGGGGGTGGACGTTAGTTACCTAACCGGGTATTTAACTTCGGCCTGGTACCATTGTACATTGTACATGGATACAGGGAGCGCGGACGGGTTCCGTTCCGGGGGCCACGTACAGTAAGATGTACCCACCTATGTACACTACATCTGGGCATCCCGCCCCATCCTGTCATGCACCGGGAGGCGCTAGTGAGTGTTCTTGCAGCGACCGCCCGATAACAAGTTTTAGCGTACCTACCTACAAGTCCAGACGACTTTCTAAGGAAGGCATGATTGTTTCAATTGGCTGTGGAAACCTGCCGTTGCTGATAAGGAACGCCGCTCGCTAGCGGCGAACCGAAGTGAGAGAGGCTCATCAGTCTTAGTCTCTGGCCGAAAAAGGAACAAGGCGCGAACCTCGAACTTTTGTTCCTCGCCGTCTCCTTGTCTGCAGCATTTGCCTCCAACTTCCTCTCTCTCCCCGGTCGCCCGCTCAAGGCTTGGCGTCTCGTCTCCTTCATCGACAGCTATTATATCTTCCCTTGTTTTCTCTGGCCTTGTTGATCGCCCTCATGAAGAGTGGCTCGGAAAAGACACGTCTCGCCGCTACAAGGCCGCCACTGACTCGACCTGGATATCCTCCCATCAGCCCCGTCTGACGGTGTTGGTCATCTTTGCCTCGACGCATCGGCCAAGTCGGGAATACCTACATGTAGCATACCCAGCAGCGACCATGTTCGCGCATCTGGTTGCCTCACTGCCAGCAGGCTTCAATTCCAAAGCCGTTGGCTTGCTGCAATCGGCTCCGATGGGATGGACGGCTTAGGCATCTGCATCCTTTGACCTGGTCACGTTCGCGGCCGCCTCTTTAGCAGGGCTGGAGAGCAAACCAATCTTCTACGGCCACATACAAAATAGAACAGGACGACTCGACGCTGGCCGGACATCCCTCCGCCTTTTTCTATTTCGGGCCGCCCACAGCGATGCTTACTTGCTCTATCCGTAGCGTAGCCCTCCCTGTACTTCGGTTGGACAAGACCCGATGATCCCCTCTGGTATCTCGAGATTGCGAGATAGTTCGGCGGGATAACCAAATAAACCCGTGCTGCCTCAGCCCCTAGCGCCGGCGTCTCTGATTACCACTTTCGTCCTAGGCGTTAACGGACGTCGGCGCCTGCAGGCTGCAGTCGTGGATGCCACCCAAGCACAGCGGGAAACCGACAGCGGAATCCGGGGATGGCTGCCAGCCTCCTGTACGTGTGTGCGAGTCCACAAGAACGGCATGAGTTGCCGATGGGCACCCACCGATACAACACCTACCGGTAGGTACCTACGGACACACGTATGCAGCATCCAGGAGGTGGCAAGGACGCGTTCCCCTACTGATTCACAGCCTCTTCCTCTTGTCTGCCATGCCTATGCGTTCGTCCCTCTGAGGCCTGTTGGGTTCTATCAGAAGTGCCCAGACGATGACAGCATCAGCAGGCACAGCACACCGTGCATTACAGCACAACACACCCACTTACTGTACACTGCATTCACTGTACGACCGTCTACCTGCCGCCTGCTTGCATGATCCCGCGAGCCTTTCTCAGCCTCAGGATAGGTGGTCGCCTTGTCTACCAAACTTGTTTTTCGCCGCGCGCAATCTCACGCGCACACGGCCAAGGGCGCCGCACTGCATGTCATGGTTGCATTGTCCAGCAACGTGGACAAACTCGGGCCATCGCACCTAGAACTTGCAGGCCACAACTGGCCACTCGGGGCTGTCTTTGTTTCCGACGATCGATGAACGAACGACATGCCGGCATTCGCCATGAACGGGATGTCTGACACCTGGGCCTCTAGTATACCGTTTGGAGAATGCGACCGGCGGCCGCCACGAATCGGATGGCTGACATCTCCGTTACGTGCTACGGTACTTTTAACGGAAAGAGGATGCCCGAGCATACCTAGGCTTATGATAGGTGGCGGTCCGTCGAGGCTTGACTTCAGATAAGGCAAGATGTAGTTCAGTCCAGTCAGTCATACATATATATGTACAAATACCGGTACCGCACAGGTATCACGCCGGCACAGTGTGGATGGACCCTGATCATACAAACCACCAGAAACGCGCCAGTGGCGACGACGCTGGAGCTGGTTAACGGAATAGCCGATCCGGGAACGTTGAGGAGGCCCCTCCCTCTGCACCATTTCGTATGGACCACCAACGGCTGTAGCGTGCTCCATTCCCATCCTGGCCAGCAGACACGCCTACACAACATGGCCACAATAACCCAAGCCTCCGTTTCTCGGACGGATTGGCCCAAAAGTCTGGACCAAGTTCCTTCTCGGGCTCTGTCCGACGCCCGCCACACCGCTCCCTCCGGTCCCGCATCTCCTTGTCTCTTCCCGGCTACATCACCTTACTCCATCCAGACGACGAGCTTTCTGCAACGCCTTTGTCTCGGACCTGCGTCCGCTCGTCTCGTCCTTTTTTCTTCTGCAAAACCTCACTCCAAAGCGCTACCGGCTCCAAAACCCGAAAACGTGGTGAAGCTTCGTACTCGTAGCCCACACGGGCCTGAAGGTCTATTTCCGAGTCACATCTACCTCTACTTTCTCTCTCCACCGCTTGCTCAAGGTGCAAAAAAGACGTATCAAATCTACCAATAGTGTTGATGAAGATGACCAATCCTGATGAAAGATGGACACTTATGACCAAAGCCCTAACCCATATGCACATTGTCAGAATTATGCTTGACAGGACCGTCGGAACTCCACGGCTTTCGTCAAGGTTTGAGTCTGTTCCAGTCACATCCGCAACACAATGGATTCGAACCATGGTAAAGGTCATTTGCCAAACGTTCTTGATCAACTTTTGGTTTCCTTATCAAGGTGATGGCTCAAAGACGCCTACCCGAACCGAAATTCAGTATCCAAGTATCGGAGATGGGTGCTCCTGTTGTATATCGACCCGGTTCGATGGCGGCTGAACACAGATCCAACTTCTACTTACAACCATCAAACTCATCATCCGTCTTCTCGGTTCCATTCATCATACATCAGGATTCACGACATGGATTCCGAAAAGCGGCAAATATGCATCAAAATGATGGCCGCAGTCCGCGATCGCATCCAAAGGGAGCGGGATCAGTTACAAGACTACGCCAATGCCACATCAGTTTTGTGTCTACTCGAAGAAGAAATACTCGCCGAACTCGAGAAGGCCGACGGAGAATTGGAACAGCTGACGATACTAGAGAGGCTTCAGCCGTCTTCATGTGAAGTACCGGAGTCATCAGTGGTGAAGTGGAAAGTGCCAGGGATGGCTCGGTCGCAGTCAGGACCGGACGCAACACTTGGACGAGGACTCAGTGAGTCTACTAAACTACAACACGGCCTTTTTCAAGAACTGGAAAAGAAGCTTATGAGCGAGCAAACCCACGATTCCTCGACGCCAACCTGTGAGAGCTGCACCTCGGCGGTCCAAAGCGAACAAAAGGCGCCAACGAGGGCGAAAACGCTCCTGGAGATTTACTACGAGGCCAAGGCGAAAGAGACTGATGAAGAGCAAAAAGACGCAGTTGATTGCGAGAAGTAATTGACGTCTTATTTCATTCGTGGCAAGTCGTACGGCAAAGGCGGTTCGGTCGCTGACCGTACCTGGTGCATGTGGATTGTGTCTGGTGAGGTACGCATGACTGATCTGGCGCGAGGCAGTTGGTTGCTCGGTCTACATAATCACCGAACAGGCAGGTTTTGGGAGAAGGATGATGAGGGCTTTTATCATCATAGCCCCGGAGTCAAGATGTTTGGCATCGAATACAGATACCCTTTCCATCATATTCCCCGTCCAACTTTAGTCATTAATACCACATGCAAACTTGCGTGTACTTTGAAGATCCAACCTTCTGGTGTCACCCCATGCCCGAATGTTGTATAATCTAATCCTGCACACTCGCCTCACTTGTAGCGTCTCCCTTCTTCAACACGGGATCCTCGGCAGCAATAGTACCGTAACTGGGCCCTTCGCCTGATTCCAATCCCCTCTCCTCCTCGGGCGCCAGCACAGCCCTCGCCTCGGCCCTCTTCTCGACCCTCGTCCGCCACGGGCGGTACACCAACACGGATCCCAGTCCGACGACGACAAAAAGCCCGCAGATGCTGCCGCCGATGATGTCAAAGTGTTCCCCGATGGCATCCACGCCGTCCCAGAAGCTGCCCTCGGGCTCGGCAACATTGGCGATGAGTGAAAAGACTTGAATGATGCCGATGAAGGCCGAGACGAGGACGGTGATGCCCGTGAGAACGATGGAGTAATACAGGATGGCGACGCGGTCGCGCGAGAAGGCCTTGGACGTGTAGAGGGCCATCATCAGGGCGCCATCCGTGGTATCCAGAAGGCACATGCCAGCTGGCTACGTTAACTCGCTTTCATCCAATTGGTTTCGCGGGCGAGGAGATGACTTACCGGTGAAGAGGACGGGGAAGATGAGGATGAGCCAGATGCTCGTACCCTGCGCGCCATGCACGCTCGAAAGTCCCAGAATAGCAATTTCGGAGCTCGTATCAAAGCCCAGCCCGAACAGAATCCCGAGAGGAAACATCTTCCACGGCCGGTCCACAACACGGAAAACCTTCTTGAACACACTGGCCAGGAAGCCCTCGCCCTCCAACTTCAGGTTCGTCGCCGCATCTCCCTCCTCTACCTCGGTGGGTTCGTAACCCCCCAGCCCCCGCCTCCTCTCTTCGTCCAGAACGACGCGCAGCCTCTTGACAAGTTTGTACAGCACCCATCCGTTGCCAGCACAGAGCAGCAGCAAGAAGGCAGCGCTGACGCTGGTGCCCACGATGTTACCCACTCGCGTGAAGCCGTCGAAGCGGTCCCTCAGCGCGCCGCTGGTCGCAGCGACGACGACGCAGGTGACGATGACGATGGTGCTGTGGCCCAGCGAGAAGAAGGTGCCGACGGTGACTGGACGCTGGCCCGACGCGATGAGGCGCCGGGTCATGAGGTCAATGGCGGAGATGTGGTCGGCGTCGAGGGCATGGCGGAGGCCTAGGACAAAAGAGAGGGCGGCGGGGGAGATGAGGGACGGGTGGAAGTGCAGGAGAATGCCGGCGACGGTCCAGATGAGCACGTTGACTGCGACGAGGAGAGCAATGATGCGGACAGTTGGCGCGGGAAGGACGCGGAGGCGCTCCGGAAGGGGGAGGGAGGAGAATGGGACGCGGAACCGCGTCATGGTGATGGCGGGTGTGGTTTCTGGTAGGTACGATGGTGTGGGAGTGCACGGGACGGAAAGATCGCGAGATGGCCTCAGCCGAAGGACTTTGCAGCAGATGGAGGTGTGAAGAGAACAGGAGAAGAACAAGCGAGGAACAAGTGTGCGAGTAAATTGAAATTGAGATGTCCAGCTGACTGAAGGCAGACTATCGACGGCGAGCCCTCTAGCTCCTCACCTACCCTCGTGGGTAGTCAATTCGTCTCATGACGGGAAGGATGACCGTTGGAGCCCCCTCCCTCTTTTAGGTGTTATCTTATCGCTGTTGGGGTTGGAGGGGAGTCATGTGGGGGAGGGTGAATGCGCTATGGGTGTGCTACTGTTGCTGCTCCGAGCCGCCGGCCGCCGCCGGCCACGGCCCCGGAAGACGGCGCCAAGATTTGCGGCTTTTGTCTCCCGGTGGAGCTTTGGGTGGAGTTCTCAACCAGGCTCCGAAGGAAAGGGGCCGATGGCCTTGCCCCCAAGGCAGCGTTGACTTCGATACTCGGTTTGCGTGTATATATCTAGAACTGGTCGCTTGTGGCCACCCATTGATTGTGAAGATACGTGTTGGCTGTGTTCAGGGGATGGTTGCTCTATCAGCATTTCCAAGAGCATCTAGTCGTCGCTTTTCGCCCTCTTGACCCCGCCTTCTGATCCGCTGACTATTTACATTTTGTATAATTCGTTTAATCATAACTCCTGATTCCATAAGCCATCGGCGTGTACAAACCTTCATGTTAAATCATGAGGTCGGGTCTTCATTCCCATTGCTATATCACACCAGCGAGATTGCGCGCATTGTCTAGAGGTCATTTCACGAAAACGGTGTTCACAATACCGGCTTACTTGGGTGGACGTACGGATGACGAATGAGCAGTGGATAGGGGTGCGCTCAGCGATTACAGCGCTCAGTAAGCAGCCACCGCCAGCTTTGTCACCTGTAATTAGGTGCCTGCCCATCAATCGCCTCGCCTCTCGTCACTGCCCCCACTTCAGAGTACAGTACAGCAGTTGGCCGAGTACTAGACAAGCTCCTCAACCTCGTCGTCGTTTGGACAGGAAGCAGCAAAGACCAAACACCTCGGACGGTAACTGACAACGCATGTTTCGGGGATTCCTCTTTTTCCTCTTCGCCTCCAGTCTCATAACAGCTCACAGCTGCCCCAACCCGGCCATAACCCTGAAGATGCCGCAGACCTACAACAAGGCCTTCATTCCCCTTGAGTCCAACCCTGATGTCTTCAACGAGCTCATCGCCCTCCTCGGCGCCTCGCCGTCTCTCCAGTTTCAGGACATCTTCACACTAGACGACCCCGCCGCCTTACCGCAAAAAATCCTCGCACTCGTCCTCGTCTTCCCCACGACGTCCACATTCGAGACGCGATTGACGCAAGAGGAGGCTGGCGCCAAGGACTGGATGGTGGACCACGACGAGGAGGACGAGGACGCCGTTTGGTTCAAGCAGACGATCAACAACGCCTGCGGATTATACGCCATACTGCACGCCTTGGCGAACGGGCGGGCCAAGGACTTTCTCAGTGAGTCTTATGACGTCAGACTGAAGACCATTCTAACGCGAGACCCAGGGCCGGCATCATTGCTGGACAGCCTCCTGTCCATCGCAGCGCCCATGGACCCGGCGCAGGCTGCCATGGTTCTGGAAGGGTCCCAGGAGCTCGAGGATGCTTACGCATCCGTTGCGACCAAACGCGACACGCCCGCGCCGGACAGCGCAGAGGACGACGTCAACTACCATTACATCTGCTACGTCAAGTCACCGGACACGGGTCATCTCTACGAGCTGGACGGCGACAGGAAGGGACCGGTTGACAGAGGCATCCCAGACGAGGATGAAAAGGTGGATCTAGGCGCGAAATCATTGGACATTGTCCGACAATTCATTGCGCAGGGGGGGCACGATATTGGCTTCAGCCTCATGGCCTTGGCCGAAAATTCATAACAGCATTTAGACGAACTGGCATGGTTTCAGCGTAGCCATCCGCGTTCTTGAATCACAGGCTGCTACAGTCGCCATCTTAGTGTGCGGCATCGCCATCCTCAAGTCTCGGTCTCTACACTTGGATTAATGAGGTTCTCTAGCTTGCCTGGATAATCTTCTCTAATTCGTCGGGGTCCTTGATAGTGGGTGTCAGGTTTTCGCTGCCGTCCTTCGTGATCAGGATATTGTCCTCAATTCTGGTCTTGTCAGTACATTGCACGACCCTGGATGCTACGGTCTGGAATGAACATACCTCACACCGCCAACGTCCCAGTACTTCTCCAGAACAGCACTATCGATGAACTTGGAGTGGACTGGGTCCTTGAGGTACGGCTCAATAATGAAACTGCAGAAGTAGATACCCGGCTCGACGGTGACGATGCTACCAGCGGGGAGCGCTCCCCTCACACGCAGGTAACGGAACATGGGGTCTCTGTCGGCATAGTTGGCGTTACCGCCAACATCGTGAGTGTCCATGCCAAGGTAGTGACCCAGGCCGTGGGGGAAGAAGGCAACGCTCGTCCTGTTCTTGAGGATCTCGTCCTTGTCGCCCTTAAGAATTCCAATCAAGTGGAGTCCATCAATGGCGATCTTGTGAGCCAGCAGGTGAATTTCATCCCAAATGACGCCCTCCTTTAGGGCGGCGGTCGTCTCCAGCTGCATCTTCAGCACAATATCGTAGATCTGGCGGGATTCCTTGCTGAATTTGCCGGAAATGGGGAACGTCCGGGTCTACTGTTTTGTTAAAGAAGTCGGTTCTCATCAAAGCCAAGCTAGGCATCACTCACAATGTCGGAGGCATAACAGTTCCATTCCGTGCCAGCATCCAGAAGAAGGTTGAGCTTGCCCTCCAAGGGAGCGTCATTGGCAACATAGTGGAGGGTGGCAGCCGCGCGACCTCCAGCAAATATACCGTGGTAAGCCTGGTTCTTGGCGCCGTTCGCAACGCTGCGCTGCAAAAAGAGAGCCTCCAGTTCCCGCTCGTTCTTGGCCTTCTTGACGTATTCGACAACGGCGTGGTGGGCAACGGTCGAAACGGCGTTGGCCTTCCTGGTGAGAGCGATCTCGTAGTCGTCCTTGACTACACGGCAACGTTCAATTGCGTCTTTCAGAATGCTGAAGTTCTTTTCGTCGAACTCGAGGAAAGTGATGCTGTCCAAGACCTGGTTCTGGATGGCAAAGACGGTCTTTTTGGGGCCTTTGCCAAGGCGCGCAAGCTCGGCATTGACATCCGTAGTGTACTTGACTTCGTCGACGTCGTACAACTCCTTTGCCTCGGCCGCACTGACGGGCAGACCAGACCAGATGACACTATCAGGGTCAATGGGGGGGATGAAGAGGGTCGACTTGCTTGTCGCGAGGTCAAAGATGTAGTGGCAGTCGGCGAGGGGGCAACCGGTCAGATAGTAAAAATAGCGGCGCTGTCTTTATGCCTAGTGTTAGTATATATTCTGTTGTTTGGACTAATGTATCAGGGTTCAAAGAAGAGGGGCAGAGGAATCACCTGAAGGGTTCAGGCTCGTCGTTGTCTTCGAGCATCTTGGTCATACGACCTTCAACATAGAGAATGCCGGTAGCATCGGGAACCTTGGACTTGACGTAGTCGGCGACACGGAGAGCATGCTCCTTGGCGGGATACTTGCCCTTGAGCACTGTCTCGTAGTCTTGGGTCATGGTTGCGGAGGTAGCGGGGGTTGAGTAGAGTCTTGCTGGTATCGCCCTGACTGGAGGTGCAACGCGCTGTGGTGGCAAAGCTCGCGGCGTTCTACCAAGAGGCCGGGACGTCGCGGTGAAGGAGAGTGGGATTCGGAGTCGACCGATGAGGCTTGGTGATACAGGGTGTGGTATGTACGTGGAGAAAAGAGCGATGCTGCTTGCCAGCGGAGGTGTTCTGGCCAACATCAAGACACGTCCAGGTTATCTGGAGGGGTTCGGATTTCCAGACGAAGGAGGGGCACGCGCACAAGGGAGGAAGAGGAAGAAGCACTGTACCAGAATAGGTAAGCCCAGTCTAGGCGCGCATCTACAGCGGGTCAACGATAGCTGCAGTGACAAATGAGCGCTCCAAGACCTGTCGGATAAGGAAGCTGTCTCGCGAGACGGCACAGTGGGGTCGGAAACCGACAGTGCAATCGCCGACCGTTATTACGTAAGTGCACTGTGTTCGTTTCACTTCTTGTATGTTTATGTAAGCAGCTGTCTCCCGATCTCTCGCGGCTGACAGTGGCAGCAGTGGCAGACAGGCATCGTCACTGGGTCAACACCTGCGTGAAGAACAGAGAAACGAGTGAAAAGTCTCGATGAAGTTTCGTTCTTCTAATCGTTATCCTCATTTGGTTGGTAAATTACGAGCAATTCGTAACTCGTAGGAATAAGGCGCGGTAGTATAAGGCCTATATGGACAATCATACAACAGCTGCATGGCTCCATGGTTCTAGCTCGGCTCTTTTCCAACGGCAAACGTTGTAGTTGCACGGCAGGCCGACCCTATGCACCAACCCTTGGTTTCCATAAGACTTGAATCGAGAGATATATCATTATGTTTTTGAAAAAGGCTGTTTGAAAGGGCCGAAACTCCAGCCGGTTAATACTTGAGTACGGGGCGTAGCGTGCACGATTCCTTGTCCATAGATGTAGCTCTCTGACGTGAATCGAACTATGAGCCATATTAACAGTCCTCTATCTAGGTATCCATACTGTTATCATTATATAATGGTCTTCGCACCCACGCAAATCTCATTCAGATACTAAGTCCGTCTACTCTTCGAGTCGTAATGCGTTCACTGGGGCATTCAAGAAAGGCTGGCTTGAAAATACAGAGTCAGGCTTTGAGAAGACGATCGCCAAGTGGGAAGATGCCATGACCTAGAAGCTACTTGTCAGTGTACATTGAAATTGGGTGGTTTTTTTCCGAGCGCCGGCATACAAGTACCTGTCCGTAGCATTCTAGAAAGACAGCCCATACCTACTCCATCTTGCTGCGCGTGGGACGTCATCATGAGATGATTGATCATTATCAGGGAGTTCCCCGCATGGAAGCTGTCATGTGGGGACCTAGAAAATAGTCGAACGGACCTGCCACCAGTAGGTAATTACACTACCACCCGGACACGCCGGGTGACAATCTATGAGGGAAAGTTAAACTAAAGCTTACACTAGAGCACTGCCATTGAAACGGACTATTGTCCGCAGAGAACGTTCCATGTCGTTTCTGACTAGCTACACGCCAAGACTGAACTCGGTACCCCTCATCTGCAATTCTTTTCCTAGGCTATAGGTAGCCGGAAGAACAGAACCATGTGCGGTAGTTACGGGAAAAAGCAAGATCAAGGTTGTTGTTAGCTCGCAGAACGTTGCATCCGCCTGCGGAGAAACTGGGGAGACGCGGCGGGGAACTGGCGGAAAACTGAAAAGTAACGTAGAACCAACCTGCAGGTTAGTCTTTCTCCTTGGTGCAAGGGTGGTGCTTAACTGGAGGTGGGAACTCGCACTGCTGATCTTTGATGGGAACTACCGATAATTTCGACGAAGCTTTCGTGACCAGCTGGTTAAGCCAACATATCCTATCGTAATAAGCTCGGCGTGCCCCCCGCTTTTGCAAGCGAGAGATGATATAAATACCAGAACCTCAGCTGTCATAAGTATTATGGATGGTTCAGGCTTTTGAGGATATTCTAGCCTTGAGGACAAGTCCATCTTGGTTTATTTTCGGCTGAAAGTACCAACCTTACTCACAATGGCTGGATATTGTCGGTTTATTTGTCTCGTCGTTGCGGCTTTCGCGGCAGTTCTCACCGGCCAAGTATTAGCACAGAATTCGTCGGCAAATGGTATGAGGATACCACCCCAACCCGAGTTACAAAAATTGACACTTTACAGGCATCGTCGTAGACGGCAAGTCTTTTGCCCTCAATGGCGACCACTCCTCTTACCGCTTTCATGTGGACGAGCTTACGGGTGACCTCTACTCTGACCACTTTGGAGGCCCGGCTACAGAGAGCATGGCCATGCTGCCTCCTGCTACCAATGGCTGGGTCGGCATGATGGGCCGTGTCAAACGGGAGTATCCCGATCTTGGCCGTGGGGATTTCCGCATCCCTGCGCTGCAAATCCGCCAGTCTGAGGGATACACCGTCAGCGATCTCCAATATCGATCCCACCGAGTTGCTCAAGGAAAGCCTGGTTTGCCCGGTCTACCTGCGACCTTTGGCAATGAGGATGAAGTCTCTACTCTAATCGTCTCCCTGTACGACAACTATAGCTCTATAGCTGTTGACCTCTCATACTCTATCTTCCCCAAGTACGACGCCATTGTGAGGAGCGTCAACATCACAAATGAAGGACAGGGCAACATCACTATCGACAAGGCCGCAGCCCTTAGCATTGACTTGCCATTTGCAGACATGGAAATGATCGAGTTGAGAGGAGATTGGGCACGGGAGGCCATGAGACTTCGTCGGAAAGTCGACTACGGGACACAAGGGTGCGTGCAAATGACAAGAACAAAAGCTTTGCGTGCCCATTTACTAATGAAAAATCCCACTTAGATTCGGGAGCACAACTGGCTACTCGTCGCATCTCCACAATCCGTTCCTGGCGCTCGTATTTCCAGAGACCACTGAGTCTCAAGGCGAAGCCTGGGGGTTCTCTCTCGTCTACACAGGCTCTTTCTCCGTTGAGGTTGAGAAAGGATCTCAAGGCTTCACTCGTGCCATGCTCGGCTTCAACCCCTACCAGCTTTCCTGGCCTCTCGGACCAGGGGAGACCCTCACTACTCCGGAAGTCGTCGCCGTGTACTCGCAAACGGGAGTTGGTGGCTTGTCGCGGAAATACCACCGTCTCTACCGGAATCACCTCATGAGGGGCCAGTATGTTGATCAAACTCGTCCAGCATTGCTTAATAGCTGGGAGGGCCTTTACTTTGACTACAACGCGAGCACAATCTACGAATTGGCGCAGGAAGCGGCCCAGCTCGGTGTCAAGCTTTTCGTTCTGGATGACGGGTGGTTTGGCAAAGAGTATCCCCGGATAAATGACACCGCTGGTCTCGGCGATTGGGCGTTCAACCCAGACCGCTTCCCTGATGGTATGCCCGCTCTCGTCAACAAAGTAGTTGATCTCCAAGTCGCCAACTCGTCGGACAAGCTCAGTTTCGGCCTCTGGTTCGAGCCCGAGATGGTCAATCCCAACTCGACTCTTTACCGGACTCATCCAGACTGGGTTCTTCATGCAGGCAACTATCCCCGGACTGAAAGGCGGAGCCAACTTGTGCTCAATGTGGCGCTCCCTGAGGTACAAGAGTTCATTATTGAGTCGGTCTCAAACATTCTATCAAGCGCTCCTATTTCATACGTCAAGTGGGATAACAACAGGGGCTTCCACGAAACCCCCACTCCCGGCATCGGTCACTCCTACATGCTTGGCATATACCATGTTTTCGAGGTCCTCACATCCCGGTTCCCGAATGTGCTTTGGGAAGGCTGTGCATCCGGCGGTGGTCGTTTCGACCCCGGCATCCTTCATTATTTCCCCCAAATATGGACATCCGACAACACAGACGCTCTGGACCGCATTTTTATTCAGTTCGGTACATCCCTGGCGTACCCGCCCGCTGCAATGGGAGCGCACGTCTCGGCGGTGCCCAATCATCTCACTGGACGGACAATTCCCATCAAGTTCCGCGCACATGTGGCCATGATGGGCGGATCCTTCGGTCTCGAGCTGAACCCGGCAGATATTTCCAAGGAGGACAAAGCGCAGATCCCGGGTCTGATGGCACTCAGCGAGCTTGTCAACCCAATTGTCATCAGGGGTGACTTGTGGCGCCTCAGCCTACCGGAGGACTCGAACTGGCCGGCCGCGATGGTCATCTCAGAGGACAGTTCGCAGGCGGTTCTTTTCTACTTCCAGATACGCTCATTTTATAACCACGCCTTGCCACGACTCCGCCTGCAAGGACTAGACCCAGAAGAATCCTACTCGCTGGACGGCAACGGAACTTACTCTGGAGCCACGTTGATGAGCACCGGAGTGCAGTATGATTTCGAAGGGGACTACGATAGCCGCGTTGTGATGATCCAGAGAGTTTAGACGATGGTTCTCAAAGCTCGTATCAGTCCTTTGTATCAAATCAAGACTATATGTATATGAGCTAGTAATCAATATCCATACCTGTAAGGGCATGAAACGGGATAGAAGGGACTAGAAGGGGCTACAATCACTTGAATAGATTTATCCCAATGGTCTTAAGTCCCTCAGAGCTTAGTCTGCAACTAGTCCTCATAACTGATATTCCACAGCTATGTCATATGATTCATGGGTTTAGATACTGGTAGAATGAGACGTTGTCGCGCTGGTTTCTGACTCAAGACCTTTGGAAGCTACATGGTCCTTCAAGTGAATGATCACAAACTACCATTCGAGGTTAGAGTGAGATATTACAAAGACGCCCGGAGCCATTCTGACTCGTTGCAAGACAATATTAAGTTTGAGAGCAGATTACGGTTCATAGACGCGTGATACACGGGCGACCTTCATGAGCAACGCCTTTTGGTTATGGATGCTCCTGCGTAGCGGCGTGCATCATATTGTTCACACTTTTACTCCGTACACAGACAGGGAGAGTTGATAAAACATAAAAAAAAAAAAAAAAAGAAAAAGGAAAAAAGAAAAAAAACCCTGCTGAGCCCAGTGTACCTCCTCTGAACTTGGTCTTGATTGGCCCTCTTGCTTTCTTCTCATTGTCTCATGAGAGTGACCGTCTCCTCGTCGTACAGGGTCCGTCTCTTACATAAGCTTTCTGTGCGGTGGAAGTGGGGATACCGTGACAGCTGGCAGAGCTGGCGGGCAAGAACTAGCTAAAGGCTGCGTCTCCAAGCTCCAACTTTTCATCCCTCTCCAATTTCGACCCACCAATTATCCGTCCTCCACCTGTTCGTCTACGCGCCATTCCCAATGCCAACGTCCACATTTCACCCGCCTCCATGGACTATCGCTTGTTTCCCTCGTGGCATTGGCATGGCGCCGAGGAAGCTCAAACCTCCAAAGCGCAACGGGATGCTCGCCCACCCCTCCAACGTGGACCGGGTCCTCTTCAACCCTGACACCCATCTGGTCAAACGAGGGCGTTTTGCCCGCATTCAAGCGAACCCATATGACATCTGTTTCCAATTCCAGATCTTGGCTTGGCCGATCTTTGTACTCTACAGGATGATCACTTCTACCCTTTGCATTCGAAAGGGCCGTCATTGTTTCACGCAACGGCCAAATCAATACAGGTCGATGCCCACCACCCACGGTCGTGGTGACGGGGGCACCAAAGGATACACCCCCGGGCTACCTTTAGAAGTTCCGATATGAGTATCGACCTGTCAAAGGTGGGCCAAGCAACGCCGCCCTTGTGACGTATTTTCAGGGCGCGGCTCAGTCACCTCGCCTCCTGCGGGCGAATCCTCCCGTGCACGCCAACATGGATGACCTTGCGAGAAACGGAAGTAAATACAGTCCGCCGTCCAAACAAAGGCCCGTCTTCTTCATTTCGACCATCGGCGAGCAGGCAGCACTGCCACCTCCGCCATTGTCAGAGCCAAGATATGACCAACAACATTCGGGTCATTCAGGTGGCGCCGGTGCCGCCCAACAATGCGGATCAGGAAGTGTCTAACGGACACTGTCCGAGGTTCAAAGCTAGCTGGGTCTCGAAGCCCGAGGAGTTAGTCGGGAAAGCAGGGGGCAGAAGAAGACTCCTAGCATCCCAACATGCGACTGGCATCTGATTTGTCCCCGTCAGGTTACAACAAGCCCCCCACTGAGGGAACGTGTGCTTTTGCTTCTCCAGTGTCCTTGCCGTCTTCCCCGACCTTGGCCGCCAAACCCACAAAATCCCCAAGGGGAATTATCGGACCACCTTGTCCACTGTTATGCCGCTCGAATCACTTTACAATACAGTCCACTTGAGTCAAACCTCATACAGTAATCCTCCGGTGTTCTTCCTGCAGCATTGGACCTGTCACCGACTGTTGCGTGAAAGAGGGACGACAGGATGGGTCTGGGTGCGAGTATCCTCAGTAACCACGGTTCAATGAGCGCAACATTGAGGCTTCGATGACGGTTACTATATATAGTGACCCTGCAGGGAGGCAGCACGCCACTACCGAAGCCAGCGGAACAATGAACTAGCCTTTCGAATCGCACACTTCACATTCCACCGGGTTCGCTGAGGGCTCTGTCTAGGATCATTTCATCACCTGACAAGAATTGCGTCGAGTCCAGATATTTCCGCAAAGCCCAGTCGCTTGGCGCGTTGCATGGCACTTTGTACGGTTACACAGAAGGTCGAGGCGGTTTACTGCGCGGTCAGCTTGTCAAACAAGGCTCATTCAGGCTGTTCAAATAGAGCCCTGACCACTGGTACAGTTTGTCAAAACGCCGGCAAATATGGTCGGTTGAGAATGTCCAAGCACAGGTACTCCGTATAGAGGCGCCATCTGTTGGTCGAGCCAGTGGGCAATGAGATGCTCAGAACCAAGACGGCGATCTTTACAGGTTAGGCAAGCCGGCCCAACTCGCTTGCAATTATACTCTCGCCTCGCATCTCGCCTGCTCCCACTGGAGAAACATCCCCACCGCCGCCCAGCCTCTTGTACTGCCGTATGCCGGTCAACAATTCTTGGTATGGCGGGTCGCAATATCGAATCAGCGCCTCTCGTTGTCCGAATAGAGTCTGCCGCCCACCATAGTGCCATAGACCCGTTCAAGAACCGCCCAACTGCACTCGGCTTTTACTCGTTGACGGGGCCAGCAACGTTCCATATTACGCCACTTCAAGCAACCGTTTGATAGTCACAGTAATAAATTAGCGCTGCCGAGGCCCACAGACTGCCCCGTTCATATCTCTGCTTCCGTCCAATACAACTCAGCATCCATTTCGGCTTTAGCCCTTTGAGATTCTAGTGTAGTCTCTGTGTGCTGTGCCTGAGCCTTGCCTTGCGCGCTCTTAAAAGCCTCTACCCCGCAAGGAACCCCAACCGCCACCCTCCGCCTTTCCCCGGCCACAACTCCGCTCCCACAATGGCTCTCACGCCCGCACCGCTGCAGCTTGACCCAGGCGGCTCAGACTCGGCAGTCTGCCTAATGTCGGTCGGATACCGCGATTCCCTAGAGACTTCCCATGAGACACTACTCCGTAAATAAGACACGAAACACATCAGCCAATGAATGGCACTCCCCCGTTTCCTTGTGTTTTTTTTTCCTGCTCTGCTTACAGCCCCACCCTCTTTTCTCTCCGAATGACGTAGGACAAGCCTTACTGTATAAACAGCGGTAACTTGAATACAAGGATTCTTTCTGCCGAGCATGGGTGAGAGACAACCTTCCTGTGCACAAACATGTCTGATATGGTTCAGTCCTGTTACCTACCGCGAACCTCGAATACTGTTGTGCAAAGGGGGCGGTCAAAAACCGGCCAGCAACTTTCCGTGCTGCCCCAAGAGAGGTCAGGTCGGTTCAAGCTCATTTGAGCCCACTCAAGCCTTCAGGCTTGCGGTTAGTTGCGCTCTCGGCGGGGGCTTTGTGGACACAGCGGAATGGGAAGCCTCGACGATCAAGCTTGGAGCCTGTGTCCCTGCTTGGTGTCTCACCTCCCCCGCGCTGAGCCATCTGGGATGGTTCTGTGGCTTTCCCCATTGGCCGAAAGGCAAAGAATGCGCCAAGCGCTTGGCTCTCTCGATCTCTTTCCACCATTGTGGGACAGGTGCAACTGGACGAACGACTCAGATGCCTTCAATTTTCGGCACGTTACATTACGAGGCACAAAGACGCCCAAGTTTGACAAGGAACCTGCGCATGTGTCCCCTGAACATTCGCCCGGAACCCTTGGCACGAGCCGAATCCTCGTTGACGCGGGCCACAGGTAGAAGAGGAAAAAGCAACATCTACAAACCGCCAAGCTCTCACCTGGCAAAGTTGAATGCCTAGTGACGCATCATGAGGCCAACATACCAACAAGTCCGATCGAGAGACTGGGCTCGCAGGAGTATTCCTCGTCTTCGCGTGGGGCAGCCTTGGCTAACAGCTTGATTGCCCCCTTGATCCATACCAGCCTTTCGCGTTTCGCAGGACCGACGCCGAAATGTCGAAGCTTATGCAAAGTGTGCGGGGACGCCAAGAAGATGGCTTCAGTTTCTGGCAGAGGACCATCGGCTGCTTTCATCTGACCCAAGAAGACGGGCAAGGGGGTGGGCTGCAAGCTATAAAGATCCATGGCCTGCCATGATGCATGCCCTTGCCCACGTCTTCTCCTGGTTGTTCTACAAACGCTCTGTGCTTCCATTGAGTTGTGAGGCCATACCAGACGTCGTCACGCGTATATCCTTGTAGCGTGAGCCACAAACAATATTACAAGAGGAAGGAGCAATAGGTTGCCTATTGCATAGCCAACATGGCTGATAAGATCAACCTCGAGGGGTAAGTCCGTTACAATCCGCCTTCTTCAAGATAGATGGTATGCTTACACAACGGTCTCCACAGTGAAAAGGTAGCCGATGTCTCCGGGTACCATGAGGAGCGTGGAACTGGCCAGCCTGACCCTATCGAGCTGAGCCGTAACATCGAGGCGAAGTAAGTCGACTCCGTATTATCCTGTAAGCTTGGTGGCTAACAGCGACTGCCTAGAATCAAGAACCCACTGGAGGGAATCGGGTACAACCAGCTCATGCGCGATGTCGAGGTCTTCTGCCGAGACCACGGTCTTCAGGAGGAGATCGCCGTATTCCGCAAAGGCGCCCTGGTTGCCCAAGACCCGGAGAACTACGAGAACATTGGCGGCGCCGAAGCCCTTGACGAGGCCGAAATCAAGGCGCTCCGTGAAGAGGTTACACACAAGTGGCGCTTGCCTAAGAAGCTCTACCTGACCATCATCACTTGCTCCATTGGTGCTGCTGTCCAGGGATGGGATCAGACCGGTACCAATGGCGCCAACATCTTCTTCCCCGCAGAATACGGTATTGAGTCCAACAGTACTCGAGACCGTCTCATCTTGGGTCTTGTGAACGCGGGCCCTTACATTGGATCAGCGTAAGTGGTGCACTCGAGTCCTTGGGCAGAATCATGAGCTAACCCTGACCAGTCTCTGTGGCTGCTGGCTGTCTGATCCTCTCAACCATTACTTCGGTCGCCGCGGTGTCATCTTTTTCTCTGCCCACTTCTGCATCTGGCCCCTCATCGGTTCTGCCTTCAGCCACAACTGGCAACAGCAGCTTGCGAACCGTCTTCTCATGGGAATTGGTATGGGCGCCAAGGCTTCCACGGTCCCCATCTATGCTGCCGAGAACTCCCCGCCATCTATTCGTGGTGCTCTCGTCATGTCTTGGCAGATGTGGACCGCCTTTGGTATCGCATTGGGGACAGCATTTAACCTAGCCGTTTACTATGCCAAGTACAACTGGCGCCTCATGCTTGGTAAGTCAAAGAGTGACCCTCGACTCTATTCCACATATGACCTGACGCTGGTTCTTTAGGTGCTCCGTTCCTTCCTGCCGTCCCTCTCCTCCTGTTGATCTACTTGTGCCCCGAGTCGCCTCGTTGGCTCATGAAGAAGGGTCGTTACCATGATGCCTGGAAGTCCATGATTCAGCTCCGACACAACCCGATCCAATGTTCTCGAGACATGTACGCTATCCATGCTCAGCTGCAGCTCGAGAATCAGGTGCTGGGCAAGAGCAGCTACGTCAGCCGCTTCAAGGAACTCTTCACCATCCCTCGTGTGCGCCGAGCCAACCTGGCCGCTTTCACCGTCATGATCGCGCAGCAGATGTGCGGTAAGTAACAGGCACCGTCTTGAACCAATCGAAAGAGTCGGGACCTAACAAGCATCCTCACAGGCATCAACATTATCGCATTCTACTCTACCACCATCTTCAAGGAGGCTAAGATGGGCGACTTCGAGGCCCTGCTCGGCTCGTTCGGCTTTGGCATGGTCAACTGGCTTTTTGCCTTTCCTGCTTTCTGGACCATCGACACTTTTGGCCGACGATCTCTACTTTTGTTCACCTTCCCCCAGATGACCTGGACCCTCTTGGCAGCTGGTCTCTGTACCCTGATCGCCCCCGGTATCACTCGGACAGCACTGGTGTCCCTCTTCGTCTATCTCTTCGGTGCCTTCTACTCCCCTGGAGAAGGCCCCGTGCCATTCACCTATTCGGCCGAGGTCTACCCCCTGTCTCACCGTGAAATGGGCATGGGTTTCGCCGTCGCGACATGTCTGTTCTGGGCTGCCATTTTGGGCATGACTTTCCCGTTCATTCTCGACAGACTCCAGGTCGTGGGTGCATTCGGTCTGTATGCTGGTTTCAACGTCGTTGCCTTCTGCATGATCTTGTTTTGGGTTCCAGAGACCAAGCAACGCACCCTCGAGGAGCTCGACTGGGTCTTTGCTCTCCCCACCAGCCGCTTCGCTGCTTACCAGGTCACCAAAGCCATCCCCTACTTCTTCAGACGCTGGGTCTTTTTCGACCGCAGTGCCAAGTTGGAGCCGCTCTACACCTTCCAGCAGCCCGACCGGACCGAGCGGGTCGTCAGCTCCGACGAGGAGAAGAAGACCTTCTAGACCGGGGCCCTGCTTCTATCGCACGTCATGTCGCCATGCTCATCATGCACTCGCGAGCCGACTTGAGAAGTATAAAGAAAGAGAATTGTAATGAGCGGATGAGGAGGAATCGCGTTATACCCAGGCGGAGGATGAGATGATTAGCTTCTTTTTTTCTGTATGTCGGACGGACTGTCCTGCCCGGAAACTTAATGCGTGAATAGATAGGATAGTCTGTCTTTACTGCACCATGTTAAATCCAGTCTGCATGGTCTGGTACATTTCCCAACCCGATACCAATATTATTTCATCAATCCTCAAATCAGCTGCAACCCTTGTGTCTCATATTGTGTTGATAGTCTCGACGGAGATTTGTCGTCTCGAGCCCTTGGGAAACCTGAACTGGCGTTTGGTGTGCCAAGACTATCGGCGATTCCAGCTGCCACCGTTGACGAGAGAGCTCTCCAACCCCTCGTCATGATATCAATAACACTCTGGTGACATCTTTAAACTCCATAATGGGCTTTATACGTGCGCTATGTTGACTCCAGACTAATGCTAGTATCAACCCTTCTTCGAAGCTTGGCACCTCCGATCTGGGCATTGGCTGAAATGACATTGTAAATGGAGCCCTAGATAGAGGCGGGGCGGGTGCTTTAAGACGAACTTGCTTGCAATAGGCTATGTAGCGGCCGAGGCTCCGTCGCGTACCGGGCCGACTGCGGTGGATGAAATGAAGGGGGCAGGACGACCGGTAGCTGATGTTGAGGTGATAATAACAAGGACACAATCACGCGTGGCCCTATTGACAACTGTGGGCTCTCCATCATTTTATCTTTTCATGTTTTAGCTCCGGCAGCAGTTCCCATCATTGCCCCCATCGCTCCAGGATCTCCCTCTTTCTCTCGCTCCTCTGCCTCGCCTTGCCGGCGTCGACCCTCTCAATCCTCTCCTTGACCCTCTCGATCTCCTGCCCCAAAACGGCGATCGAAGCCTCAATCCCCTCGTCCACAAGTCGCACGTCCCCAAAAGGGCTCTCGGCCAGCAAGCTGTCCCGGAGAAGCTGCACAGCAAGCCTCGCATCCGCGAGCTGTGACGCAGCCGCGCTCTCGAGCGACTCCTGCGTGTTACGAGCCACGTCGCGAGCCTTTGCCTGCTTCTCGGCGAGGGTCGCGGAGAGAATAGCCGTCTGGCGGGCACCGTCGGTGGCGTCTTCGGGGAAGGAGATGGCGAGGGAACGGAGAAGGGCCTCGAGGGGTGGCTCGTTGAAGCCCGATGAGCGGCGGCCGCGGTTTGAGTTGAAGCGGTTGCGGGTGGGGGATCCTGGACCCGTGTTGCGGCGGCGGATGGGGGAGGCGAGGTCTTGTGCCGGGGTCTTTGTCTTCGGGGTTGATACGGGGGCGGAAAGTTCGGCACGGGCAGTGGTGAGAAGGCTCGTGGTTGCAATCTGATGAGATTGGAAGGCCTCGATGCGAGAAGAGAGACGCTCGATGTGGTCAAGGAGGTAATCTAGACACTCATCGATCTAGTCCGGTTAGATGTCGTTTCATCTTTCATAATGCACTTGGAGGCTTCAGGGAAATACGTACATAGACGACGGCCGCGGCCGAACGGTGCAATGATTGCCCGTTCTGGCTGGACAGCGATTTGAGAGCGGGTTCGAGGTGCTGTTGCTCGACCGACATCTGAGCTACGGGGAGGATCTCTGCGTAGAGCGACTCAAGCTCTTCCTGCGAAGTCTTGACGTCGTCTGAGGGGTGTGACGCCACACCATTGTGGTGGGCAGAGCTGAGCGCTTCGAGATAGAGGCGATCTAGCTTGGTGCGCACCGTTTCAACGGTGTATTTGATTAATCTGCGACGAGGTTAGGAAGGATGTCTCGGGGATTAAATGAGTAGAGAATATGATGAGGAATGTGTACCTCATGCAGATCTCCCGAAGCTTTTCGATGTTTTCCCGGTCCTCTGGATCTTCCGTCTCGAGCTCGAGACCGAGCTTGCGCAAGCTGAGCAGCAGCTTATCGTCGGAATGCAGCAAGCTATCCAACGTCTTTTGAAGGTCTTTGCTAGCGACCTGGGACTGCTGCTCGAGGTCCGAGGTTTTGTATTCGAGGCTCTGGGATAACTCTTCAACCTAAACGCATGGTTAATGTCATGCGTACAGATCAGCCGGAGGCAGTGGCACACACCGATGTCATTGTCTTTTTACGCTCCGAGTTGTGTTTCTGGCTTCGCTGGAAGACGAGATCAGACCGTGCCTCCTCCACCTTGGCGCTGCTCTTGACCAGCTTCGCCAACGCATCTTGCTGCTGCTTCAAAGTCTCGGTCTGCTTTACAATGGCGGCAGTGGACCGGTTCAGCTCATCAATGGCGGTTTGGATCTCGCGCTCGCTAAAAGCTTGAACGGAGGCCAAGTCTTGAGACGCGACAAGTTTGTCAATCTGGCCTGACTTGTCGAGGCTTGAATACCTGGGAGTGCTTGTTGTAAGACATGCTTCTCAACGTGTGCGACGGTTGGCTGCGAGTCAACTTACAAGACGAGCTCGTCTCTGGATAGGAGATTATCAGGGCCGAGATGAAGGCGGGCCCATTCAGTGAAAGCGGTGCCGTGCTCTGGGTCGTCGAGGGCTGCCTGCAGGGTGTGTCTGTCGATGGGGATACCATAGACTCGTATGGTGTTCTCCAAGCTTGAGACATCCATATCGGTGGGCGGGTGCGGAAGTGGCGGCAAGAAGCTTGCAAAAGGTGTGGTCAAACAAAGGGAACCGGTGGCGACCTTCTTTTACTTCCCTTACGTAGGACCTCGTGTTCAAAACGAACGGTTTAGGCCCGAGACGTCGTACCTGAACAAAGTTCCGAAGCAACGAAGGACGGGCCGTTCCTTGGTGTCCGACCGCTGATAACTACACCCCCAGTATCGAACCAGAATCAAGACTGAGGAGATGGCTGGACGCTGTCTGGTTCCTCCACAAGAGCGGATGTAGCAAAGCACACGGGATGTTGTCGTCCAATGGAAGAAAGTAGAAGAGTTTGTGACGTGATCCAAGAATCCACAGCCCAGAAGCTAAGGAAGAGCGAAGAAACACAGAGACTCCCCAAGTTCCGGCGGTCGTTGGTATCAACCAATTCAAAGAGATTCTGGGGCAGCACACACCGCTGCCGTGGTGCAACCTAAGGGGGGGTTGGTTGGTGAGGTCCTTGCGCTTCGACTCGGGTTGCTATCGCTCTCTTGAAAAGGGAGTGACGGTACAGACCGCAGGGTTTATTTTTTCTTTTTCCCTTTCTTCAAGTATCAAATGACATGGCCTGGTGAGAGATAAGATGATGCAAGCCAACCAAATGTATGTCAATCTGTTGGATAAGCGGGGGTGAAGTTGACTGGGCTCTTTTGAGTGAAGAGGAGGTGAAGGTGCAAACAGAACTGGGAACGTCGGTCGGCAACGACGACAGAAACCCGCTGACAGGAATACATGACTAAGCCGCTTTCAGCAGAGGGCTCCACTTATATACCGTGCTGACCAACCATATTCTGTTTTTGCACGGCTTTTGGCGTACTAATTATGTCCCCTGTCCGCCATCCCGTCTGCAGCGGCCCCCCCATCCAATGTTATGCACGGTACGTCCCGGAGCATATCTCTGATCGCAGTTGTGTCCGAAGGACTTATTTACACCAACTCCCCGAATAATATCTACCTATTCAATCCTTGCTTTCCTGAGAGGGGAAACAAGAATCACACACCCGGAGAGCACAACCAACAGCAACTACCCGCCCTCCCGTGCTGAGTTTATCAGACCCCCCTCAAGACCCTGAAGTGCCTCACGAGGACCCCCAAAAAAGAAAGAAAACAACACTCAAGTCATGTCCCCCCTCTTGCACGGCATCATGCAGCAGGGCAGTCCTGCATGAAGCCATGTTGCTATCATAGATCATCCCCAGATAGTCTGATGGGAAAAATATGACAACCAACGACACCCAATGTCCACTGTGGCTAGGTACTCTGAATGTCGTTTGCAGCAGGTACCGTTCTGCCATCCGTCCGCCGTGCCACGTCAGGCTGGATGCCCACGGCATGCCAAACCAAAGGAAACAGCCCAGGCGCGTTTGGGCATGAGCTTTGAGTCTTTCCCCAACATATCAATTGTGACGAATACGATTCTGTATGACGAGATATTTGGGCTTTCTTTTTGCTTTCGGGCGTTCGTCGTGACGTTCACGCTCCAGCTCAACTATCGGAACACTCAACAACGGCAACTAAAAGGACCATGCCATACGATACAATCCGGATCAGAGGGGGGGGGGACTTCCTCTGACCTGCTGCTCCAGGATCAGGAAAAGCAATCTGGCAAATCTTCTACGACTTCTTAGATATTGAATTCAAACAGAGATAAGTATCCCAATCGGCCAGGTGACTGACTTGTCACATGTCCTGGCATTATTACCAACGCATAGATGAGATCTCCCTCGGCTTCAGAAGAGATGTTCCCGTTCTCGATCATCGGCAATCAGATCCTCAAACTGACATTGTGTCTTTCTTTGCTTGTATTCGCATCAACCCAACTCTCCTGCCTTGCCACCCCTACTGACGAAAGCCAGAGGGAGAAAGCTACAGAGATCAATGGCCACGGGTTCGTTCTGGCCAGTAACCCGTTTGTGATGCCATCCAGCACACCACTTCACCTGGTGGGGCTCGTACCCCTCACAGCTTTACCTTCACCTTCGCCCTCCCTTCTCATCCTATCTCGTCCTTTCAACGTTGACCACCAATGGGTTTCAGCATCTTAGCCTATCCATGACGTGGCAAAGGGAGAGAGCTGCCAGCCTACCCTCTGGTTCTCCTCCCACATTATTTATTCTTTGTGCATATATACCGGACGTGTGCAACCTTGACCCGGAAACGGGAGCTTTGTTGTGTTTCCATATCCCCTAGTTCACCTTCTCTACATCACCCCAGACTTGCCGTTATATCATTCTGGATCACACCTGTCACACTCCACGCACGTAAACACTCTTGTGTTCGTCATTCGCCTTTTCATAAGATGATTGCAGCCGCCCCTGTTCGCTTTGAGCTCCTGTCTCAACAGATCCAACGCTGTCTGAAAAACTTCACAGACAATGCCGTCAAGATATCATCCAACTTGCCATTGCGGATGTTCTCGAGAGGCACCGACAAGAACAATAATAGCAGAACCAACACATGGAAGACTTGGAGGCGTCACACCCTCCAATGGATAAGCGCTATCTTGGGGGTTGCGGTCATCTACCTCGCCAGTGAACTGCTCATATGGGGTATCTTCTTGGTCCTGAGACCCGTCAGGCTTCAATTTCTCAACTCCATATTGGGAATGATCATGGTGTTTGCATTCATGGCGGCCGTCTCACACCTCTGCTCTGGGTCCGATGGCATTTACAACCGAAACATCAAGCCCAAGGTCTGTATGGTTGGCGACCCGGTCTCCCCTGCTTCAGAATTCTAACATATCCAGGTCGACTTCATCAATCGTAACCTTGGTGTCGGCTTCCCTGTACCCATTGTAACTATTAGCAAAGAGCAGCTCCTCGGGGGCCAGGGTATCGGAAGGGTGGTTGCAAACTTTTGTAAGTCATGTTGATACCACCTTTGGACTGGCCAAAAAACTAACAAGTCAGTAAACACCAACATCATCTTCTGGGCATTTGTCTTCCTTCTCTCCTGGGGTATCCTAGCCGGCATCCTCAAGTTCCCACGCTTCTCCGAAGCCGCCGAGCCCAAACAGCCGTGGCAGCCTGGGGTCACTGACGCTTCTTCGCAGCGAGTTGAAACGCCATCGCAAACCATCAACCGCAGAGCCTCGGATACGACTACCTTGAATGGGACCATGATGACAGGATACCACACCGATAAGGAAGCTGGATCGTGTTCAGATTCGAGGGCCGCATCGGCTTACTTCACCGACAGCGAGTGCCCAACCTCCGTTCCGCCGCCAAGTGCCGCAGGCAAACAGCCAGCGCGTACAACGCTTTCAACTTTACATCATTCCGATGACTGTCGGACTGGACAGAACGCGATGGCAAACTGGTTCAGGGAGTGCTTTCCCATGGTCCTCGCGATTCTGTTCTTCATTGCAATTGGCATCCCGATCTCCCGTATCACAAATGACGACCGAGTTCTAGATGGCTGTATGCTTTGGTTTCTCTGGATCAGCAGCACGAGCCTGCAACGGGCCTTCAGTCGAAGTCATCTCCTCGTCAATATACCGGGCTTGAAGACGACTGTAACAACAATCCTTAATCCAGTACTTCTGACAACGCTTACCATGACTGCCTACACCCGTGCCAAAGCAGCGGCACAAGATGAGGCCATGGAGCATACCCTCGCCATGTTCAGCAGTGGCGCTTCCCTTTCCGACCTATGGACTTACAAGACCACAGGCTGGAGTCGCAGCAACACTATGAAAGGTTATTTCGGCGCAGGCGATGCAGCACTTTCGGTTCTGGAATGCGGCATTGTTGTTTGGGGCTTCAAGCTGTATGAGTGTCGCCGACAGATCTGGTCTCGCGCCGGGGCAGTTGTGATACTCATCTCGGCAGGCATGGCAGCGCTCAACGTCTTTGTCTCTGTCTTGCTCGGCAGCGCGGTTGGTCTCGAGGGGCCTGAAGCACTCGCTTTCGCGGGGCGGAGCACGACCCTTGCTCTCGCGCGCCCGGCCATGGAGGCTCTGGTAGGAAATCAGGTTGTGAATGCGACGCTGGTGGTGAGCAACGGCATTCTGGGGCAGCTGATGTACCCTTTTCTGCTACCAAGATTGGGGGTCGAAGGGCCAGACGATGGCGAGGCCGAAGGTAGGGAGATAGAGACGGACGATGCCCTGACGATTGCGGCGGGTGTGGCGATTGGAATCAACGGGGCAGCCATGGGCGTTTCATACCTCTATGAGAGGAAGAGTCGGGCTGCGCCGTATGCTGTGCTCTCGATGACTGTATTTGGGATAATGACAGTTGTTTTCACTGCGCTTGAGCCCATGAGGGGCACTTTGGTGGCGCTGGCGCACTAATAGTAGTGGTTGGAATTTTCTGGGACATGGAAGTTTGTGATTATGAACATATTGGAAAGCGGTTTTGGGGAGGCAGCGCATCATGGGTTCACTGGTAGATAGACAATGGATGTGTTCGTTCTTGCGCAACTCATGAAATCGTCAGATATGTGTGGTATAATGCTAGACAACCATGATTGTTGCAGCCTGTTGACAAAGCGCGTGATAAATCACAAAGGCTGAGCCTCAGGAAGCTTTGTTGATAAGCGCAGTTAAACTTTTTTTTGAAAATATCCTCTCCAAGGTAGCTTGCGTGCATACGTGCTGTGCACCTTGTCTATACTCTAGCCGGTCTACTCCAATCTGGAACTCCATGTCAGTGCTTTGCGGGAAGACGTTGTATCTAGGAAAAACGAACGCACCTCTCAATCAAGTGCAGTCCGCTTGCTGTCTCAACGATGGTGCTGATCTCGCCAGGGTTCAAGCCAAAAGCAGCATCCTCAAACTCCTTTTGCATATCTCCCTTGCCAAAGTAGCCCAGGTCACCCCTCTTACGGGCGCTGCTGCAATCGGATTCGGTTAGGGCAAGCTCGCCGAGAGTGGTCTGGCCAGACTTGATCTTTTCTTCGTGGGCCTTGATAATTTCGAGTGCCTCCTCCTTGCTGCGTGTGATATCGGCCTGCAAGTGTGCATTTATTAGCTATGGTATTCGGGAGACCCGAGGCGTGAACCGCGTACTTCTCTCCAGCTCGAGGGGCGGCGACTGCCCTTGTGCTTGACCAGCAGGTGAGCGGCGCGAATCTTGCCTTCGGGAGCAGGAACGGCCTGGGGCCTTGAGCCCGCACCGGCGCTGTGGTGGCTGGCCATGTAGTGTTTCAGCTTCTCCGTGTCGGTTCCTGCGGGAGGCTCCCAGCGGGAGACCTTTTCGGCGGCATTGAAGTAGTAGGGGAGGTTCTTAGAGTTGGAGTGTCGCACTTCCCAACCGGAGGGGAGACCAGTATCAGCCTAGAGGGCATTGTTGTGTCAGTTGACCGACTGGAATGGTTCTGTCTTGGTGGGAAGACCCTGTCGGCGGCAGCGTTGCCCAGAGGAGAGGGTCGGCATGCGACGGCCAAAGCCGAGGATGACTCTGAACGAGGCGAGAGAGGGTAAATGGGGAGAAGGCTCGCTGGTGCGGGGATGCGCGCTGCTTACTTACCATTGTTGCGCTGGTGGGTGTTTACAACGAAGAAGAAGCTCCGTTATGGTTTTGGAAGCAAGGCTTCTGGAAGTGAAATAAGACGGGAAGAAACGACGGCTTCGCGACGTATTGGACTGTTGAGGTAGTCTAGGTAGAGCGCAGCAACAGAGGATGCAGAAGGCAAGTTGTAAGGATGCGGCCAGGTGGGTGCCGAAGTAGTAAAAGTATAAGCAAGCAGTCAGAGCTGGGGGAAACTAGCTAGATTGGACTAGATGGGACTGAACTGGGGTTGGTGATGCAGACACGGGCAGGGGAACAAAAGCAAGATGTTCTTTCTGGTTGAATGCAATGGTGGATTGGACAAGAGGTTTGGGGGGATGGAACTGGAGCTGGAGGATGACGTGCGGCTGCCGGGGTTACGGGTTACTCCTTCACTCTGCAAAGAAGAAAAAAAAAACACACACACGGCGTACCACGTAGGTACCATCTGTATCCGTACTCCGTAGGTAGGTAGGAAGTTACGTACCTAGAAAGGCGGGGACAGGCAAGCTTCAGCAGGAGCGGCCACACCAACAAGCGTTGGCGGAAGGAAGTGAGGGGTGTGTTACGGGGTGGATCTGCTGACCTCTGGTAACGACAGGGAAGCAACCAAGCACCAACCATTTGCAGGGCGGAGAAGGCCTTTGCGGCCCTCAAGAGCGACGGCCTTGTAGCACCGTATATTTACCTTACCGGTAGGTCCTCTATCTGCTTCATCACGTGGGCTAAAGCCTCTCGTGGCCGCTTCGTCAGCTTCCTTATTCGATTGATCGAATCTCACCCTCCACCATGTCGTTCCGCTCCCCAAGAAGTGTGTAAACCCTGCTTCGAAGCCGAGCTCACGGCAGTTCCTATGTAACACACATTGTTCTGACTTCGCTTGCAGTCGCTCTAAATCGTAGCTGGTGAATCCAGGCACCACAAGCCACAAAATGATGTTGGTCAAACTTCACGTGACGAGTCAACCAGCTCCCTATTCCATGAACGAGTTTCCTGAGAGCGCCCCTCAACTATGTCCTGTACATATATTTCAAGATGCGTTCGGCTGGATTATCATGTCGCATATTGATTTCAACGCCGATGGCTCTGCTTATATTGACCCAAAGAGCCTTGGATGACGCCGGGGCAATGGACTACAGGTAAGCATCACTGAATAAACAACTTAGCGCCAACTCCAAAAAGCCGGCTCGATTTTCAAGGCAGCTGCAGACGAAGGCTCCTAGATAGAAAGACAGTACCATAAAGTCTTGTAAATAAATTTCCCTATCAACCAAGGTTGCTCGAGCTTTAAGGAATTCCTATGCCTAAGTAGTGCTTCACCTGGATAGTGACTCACTAACAGACCTTCTACATCAGGCAGGTTCATTGCTGACCGATAGTCCCACCTTTTTGTTACCCCCCGCCACACATTCACGCAAAAGGAAGCCGTGCACCTTTCGTTATTTGCGCTGCACCTTCTCCTTCGCTTTTCCAACCTATCCTCTCTGCCCTTGACTTTTCACCAACACCACACCAGCCTCCATCGGCTCGCAGAAAAAAAAACCATTTTGGCCAGCAGTTATACGCAACACGACCTACGAAAGAAAACATCGCACTGTTTTATTCGACCCCAAATCCATTCTCTCGATACACGAATCGCTTTGCGAGCGGCCGACACGATGGCGACCCCAATGTCTACCACCTCTCAGGACGAGGCGAACAAGAAGCTCGAGCAGATCACCTTCCGCTTCTGCTCCGAATGCTCCAACATGCTCTACCCGAAGGAGGACGAAGAAACCCATCGCCTGCAGTTCACTTGCCGAACCTGCCAGTTTACCGAGGAAGCCCAGTCGACTTGCGTCTTCCGCAACATCATGAATAACGCCGCTGGCGAGACGGCCGGTGTAACCCAGGACGTGGGCTCGGATCCTACTGTAGGTGATTCCCAGTCTATTCTTGCCCCTGTTGTATGCATCGGTTGCGGCTACGCCATCCTGTGCAGTGGCTGCGGTAACCCGTCCGACGACTTCAATGTCTCGGCCGTCGTTGTCCAGCCCGACGATTCCCAGAGCAAGAAGACGGAAATCACGTGGGACGATCTGATGGACATGGCCGAAGACGAAGCTCTCGACGAGTACGACGAGGAGAAGGAGTCGGTCACCTCCGACAATATCAACCAAGGCCTTGCCGGCATCACCCTCAACCAGGAGCCCATCTCGGCGAACCGCAATATTTCGTGGCCAACCTTCCAGCTTGCGGCCAACCAGTGATTTGACATTTGCGACACGAAATCGTTCCTGGATATCTCGCTCCATCTTTCCCCCGCGCCCGGCGGTGCTGGGTTGGCTATTGCAATGGATTTTTGCTTCCATTTTGGATTCGAGACCTCCTTTGTGATCAGCTGGCTGACACTGCATCTTGCCCGGATCTAGCTTCCACGATCGAACAAGGAATGCCCCGTCTGCAGGGGCGGTGAGGCTGTTTTCTTCCAGTCTCAGCAGCGAAGCGCCGAGACGGGTATGGTATGTCTCACATGTTGCCTAATCCCTTTGGGGGGCACAACAACTGGCTGACCTGCATGTGTGCAGAAATTGTTCTACGTTTGCTGCGATTGTGGTCACATCTTCCAGTAAAAGATGTGACCTTTGACGATACCCGAGGATTGTGTTGGCGGAGGATATATAAAAGAATTGCATCGTACGGAGTATTATGGCGTTTGAGCTTTCAAATGGAGGGGGAATGGCTACGGGGTAACGGTTCTTGTCTTCAGCTTTATAACACTCAATAATGGATGTCCCACAACCGGACAGGCTCATTCTCGATTACATCCCTCACCTCCTGAGCTTGGGATGGCTTCGTACACTTTGTGAATAGTCTTTATGTTTGATGGAGATTGGTATCGTCTGCCAACCCTAATAACGCCGGCTCATGCTTTGCTATAATACACTTCCACATACCGGTGATGAATTTCCTGTACATGTACACATACATGCTACACGTCTAGGTAGCTTCTACATCATCCAAATCCCAGCAATTGTCCTCCTATGCGTGCATGGGTGCCATGGACAGGATCTTGCTCCACTTCTTCCTCCTCAGCTCAGCGCCAACAACACCGTTGATGCGCGTACCGACAGGGTCACCAGCCTTGTTGATCAGGACGCAGGCGTTGTCGTCGAATCGGATGACGCTGCCGTCGGGGCGGGTGGTCTTCTGCTTGGTGCGGACGATGACGGCGTGTCGCATGTCACCGCGCTTGACCTTGTTCGCGGCCGAGGAGCCGGCCATGCCACCGTCACCGGCGCCGCGGTGCTTCTGAACGACGACGACTATCCTGTCACCTATTTCATTCCCATGTTATAAGTCGAGTTCGATCGTGAGGTGAGGGATTCCGTTGTGGGCAGTGGGGGATTCGTACCAATGCGGGCGAGTTTCTTCTGGCCGACAACCATCGCGCACTCGACCATTGCGGCGCCCGAGTTGTCGATGCATTGTAGCATTGTCTAGCATTATGTCAGTATACACGAAGATTTGAAAGCTCATTAGGAACAACGGCAACCTTTAATTGAATCATTCTGGCGGCGCGGTGTCTAGTGGGCTATGGATTACCAGATATACCCTAGCTGGCTGGTCACTTTCGCTGAGGCTATCTCGAATAGGTGGACCTGCAAAGTTGAAATTCGAAGGGCCGCCGGAAGAACGGCAAAACGTAGGCCCGGCATCTTTCCAGATCATTGATTTGGAAGCGGGTCCTTGTGCTGGTTGCTGGGCTGCTGAGGCTGGGCTGGTTATATCGGCTGACGTACATCTGATTGGCCGAGATCGCCTTCCAAACTTGGTCTGTGCGACTATTTTGACGTCTCAGCTGGGGGGTGTCACCCCAATGATGATTATCGGTTTTGCAACTCGTCATTGGCTCAAACCGCCCGACTCAAGGCGCAATCCATCTCGCTATCTTCCTCTCTCTCTCTCCTCCGGCGAGCCTGTGCCGTTTCTCTTCCTCCCCTAGGCTTACTCCGTTCGATTGGGCTTTGCAGGAACTGAATTGAGCTGGAGAGGGACACATACACAGACACACACACTCACACACACACACACACACACACACACACACACGCACACACATACGTACCTATTGCCATAAGCGGAAAACCAACTCTTCCGCTTGGTTGGGAAAGAGCGAATTAAACTGGGACAGACGGGCGACTCCCATTGTCCCTTTCAGGCCAGCCCAGCCCAACCTCACCTCATTCATTCTCGCTTCTCATTTCACTCCCTCATCTCACTTCGCTATCAACCTCCTTATCCGTCCCTGCGTCGCCTATTGTCAGTCCGGTCTCCCTTTTGGAGGGTTAAGCTATTTTGCTCCCCATATTCATTCATTTCTTGATCCTGTATCTCAGCAGACAGACGGCTAGTCTCGCTGACATGATCTACGATCTTGCGCATTGAATCCCCACCGCCTGCATACTCAGACCGGCCTGTCCTCGTTGCTTCTTTATGCCCCCTTGAACCGGAAGAAATGACGATACCCAACCCGAGCTGACCCTTTAATCACCCAAATCTTGCGCCTTTCTTGGGACGGCAACAGCCCTCTTCCCAGTTGCACCTACGACTGCTGCCGACCCTCAGTGGACACCTGCGATACATCTTGACCCAGCTGCCACTCATACTCGCCACGGCCTTTTTTTTTTTTTTTTGTGCTTTGCGTGGGCTATCGAAGGGGGCCCAACAGCCGACCTTGGCTCCTTCGTCCACTCCTTGCTCTGTGCGCCGAAGCTGGAGCCTGTCGACGCTCTTTTAGCCTTTTCCGCTTCTGCTCGCCTATCTGTTTCATCCACATTCATTGCGCCGAGGTTGACAGTTGCGACGGCTACAAGAACCACCTCAAGATGCCGCCCTCCTGCGCTGCGGCCAAGAAGCAGAAGCAAAAGAAGACGCTGACCCTGGCGCAACTTGCCTCCTACGACGATTTCCTGACGGATGCGTTAGTTGACCATGTACGCCGTTTGGTCCGGCCGGGGAACGACATCGTCGGCGCTAGGAGACTGACAAGGCTGACACCTCGCAGGTTTTTTACTGGACTACAATACCCAAGAACCGAAATTCGTATCACCCTTCCCGAGGCGTGCGCGAGGAGGACATCACTCGGATCATCCAGGAAGAAATTGTTGTCAAGAAGGATCTCGAAGCCGCCGAGAGCAAGCTGCTAGTCACCGATGGCTTCCGCAAGTTTTTCGCCGCCCTCAAGACGGACAAGGTGAAGGATGACTTCAAACGCCACATGCGCCGCTACACACAAGTCTACCTCCCCGACTGCCCCTTTGAGGTCAATTCAACAAATCGGTACACGATTGTATCGCATGAGGCCGCTATCACTGCCCGACGCTTCATCCGGAGGAACGAGACGATCAAGTACCTGGCCGGAACCCAGGTCAACATTTCACCTGAGGAGGAGCGCGAGATGACGGCCCGTAAAAAGGACTTCAGCATCATCATTTCTGCGAGGAGCAAGTGCGCCAGCCTATTCATGGGCCCGGCTCGGTTTGCGAACCACGACTGCGGGGCCAACGCGAAGCTCATGACGACATCCTCGGCCACGATTGAAATCATTGCGACAAGGAACATTGATGTTGGAGAAGAGATAACGGTCACATATGCTGAAAACTACTTTGGGGAGGACAATTGCGAATGCCTCTGCAAGACATGTGAGGATCGGTGCACCAATGGTTGGGCGCCGGCCGAGGGGGGGGTAGTGGTCAAGAGGAGTATCGAAGAGTCTGCCATGGACGGATATTCGTTGCGACGGCGGAGAAGGGATGACAGTAGTGGTCCTTCATCCCGGACACCTTCCGTTACACCAAATATTCGGCCCCGGGTGTCCAAGTCCCGTTTGAGAAGTGGAAAGCCCAACCGCGATTCGCTCGCGGTTGGCTCGCCCATGTCCGATGTCTTATCACCGGACAAGGAGCTGTCTTTCGACTTGCTTGTCACGCCGCCCATCACACCTTCCAAGAGACGAAAGCTATCGGCAACACAAGCAGTCACGGCCCCTACCGAAGAAGCGCATGTCAGTTCAAGGGACAGCTCGTCCTCCGGGTCCGTGCGCAGCATGTCGTTGACGAGCGGCGGAAACGAAGATGGCTCGGTGACAGACATCACTGAACCGGAGAAGGACACGCCGGAACCGAGCCAGAGCCAGAAGAGGTCGGACCTCGTCAAGGAGGAGGAATGCGAAGAGTCCACGGGGCAGGTCCTGGCCCATGCAGCGCCCTTCTCCCCGCAACAGCAGGGCCAGAGGGGCACGATGGCCACGATGCCAGTTAAAAATTCCGCTTCGATTCAAACGACATCCGTCATGGCTTCCAGATCGATCCCCATCTCATCTCTTTGCAATCCTCCGTCTCCGCCTTCAAAACCCAAGGGAAGGGGCCCATCTGGATGGACTGCTACGGCATACTCGATGAGCATCACAAATGTAACGGCAAGACAAGATGATCGTATGAGCATTGCAGCGGCTGTCTGCGACAGCGTTGATATAAAGCCGGCGATGATGCCTAACGCGGGCACAACAACAGGCTCTGGCAGAAGCGGTTCGAAGTCAATGCAGGTTGACAGGGTTCCCTTAACAAACGAGGCACCCGAGAGCTCTCACCAGGATCACGTAGTGCAAGCGCCAAAGGTCGTGGCTGTGGGGTCAATTGAACAAGACGTCCCGAGCAACCGTAACTCCGATATTGTAAAGGCGTTGAGGGTCGAGGCACGGGTGCCGACGGAGAACCCTGCGCTGGTCACTGATGATACTCAAGTCTGTGCGAAGGTTGATGAGACGACGGTGGAGGCGGGGGCCGCCGGCAAGCCATCAGCAGCAGGTTTGAAGAAGCGCAAGTATCAACGGCGCACCTTCATCAAAGAGACCACACCACCCGCAAAGACCCGAACGCCTGGCGACTACACTCTTACACCACTGTTACTATCGGAGCCTCAGACTGCGTGGGTTCGCTGCATGAATTGCGAGACGGCCTTTGTACAGCAAAACGCGTATTACACCAAAAGCTCGTGCCCGCGCTGCGAGCGACATTCCAAGCTTTACGGCTATATTTGGCCCAAGACGGAGAAGGCTGGACCCCGGGATAAGGAGGAGCGCATCCTCGATCACCGCACCATCCATCGATTCTTGGGACGAGATGATGAGGCGCGGATCCGGGGTCGAAAGAGGCCAACAGGGGGGCTGTCGGAAACACTCGAGGGTGACACGGGCAAAGACTCCGGGGAAGGGGAAGACAAGGCCGGGTTGAGACGGAGCGGTCGGATGCGAAAGGCTAGCATCAAAGTGGCATGTCCGTGAGGAGAAGAGGCGTACGAAGCAGCCAACCGGGGGAGGTCCGGCACCAAAGCTTGGATAAGAACGTTTCCGCAGCTTCGGTTGAGCTATCGCCGCGGGGCTTTTGTTGTTGTTTTTTCTGGGCCACTTTCAGGAGAAATGAACGAGGATGATTTATAATTGGAACGTGGGAAACACGGGGTGGATTGGCGTCTATTTTTGTGTTTTCACATCGATAGTACTACATTCTACCCACCCCCTTTTTTTGTTTTGTCTGTTTTCTGGCATGCATGCACAATTGCATGTGGCTGTACATAGAATACCATAGCTCCTCACCTTTTGCATATTATCTGACCATCCGTCTGCAGGGTCATACAGAGGATAGGGGAGGATCTCGCTTTCGATTTGGCGCGGTGTTGAGAGACAACATTCCTGCCTTGGTGTCTTGGCTGGATAGACAGACTACTTTAGAGAAGATGTTTCTTATCTTCGGATGCACACTAGCACGCACGCACGCACACCGATGATCTAGAGAGTCGATGCAACCAAGGGTTGAGAGAAGGAGAGAAGAGAGAAAAAGAGCTGATGAGAGCAATTTTACTTCACTTCTTCAGAGACGATGACATTTCCTCTGCGTGCCGATGCCCGTTGTTTTCCTTTTCTTCTCCCCAACCCGTCAGGTTCGGACATTGCTCCTCAATCAGCCATCAGCCCATCGTATGCGTGCTGCATGCTTACTTGCGTCTGGGCTGGACGAGCGCAACGCTACCTACTTGGATATGTAAGTGATGGTTCCGGTCGGTGACCGGAAACGACTGGACGCAAGTCTGCCTCACCTTGCCCTCACCAGTCATAACCACCAAGACCTCCCCCCCCCCCCCCCCTCTCCTCCTCCTCAACACACCTAAAGTAGAAAGGCATGGACTGATCGGCACCCCGGCAGAGACATCGTCCTTCGACACCCATCTTGACGCACTGCCATCAATAAACCCCCGCCAACAATCCTCCGCGTACTGCATAAGTCGGTGTCGTCGAGAACGGCGTTGCTAGCAGACCGCGCTAAGGCACAGCAAACACTATCCTAGCTCTCTCGCAGGTCTCAACTGTCTCTTGGGATTTTCTTTTTGGCCTTCCCTGCCCTTGCTACCCTGCATGTCATAAAGCTCGAGCACCACCTCCTCTACCGTCCAAGCTCGGGCTCTGCTCACCTCGGATACCTGTACGCTCATCACTCACCCACCACCCGACTTATATCTCGGGCCCCTTCACCTGGGTCCCCTTCGGATAGTCCGAAAAAGAAAGGCTCCCCCCTCCCCCTGAACCACTTTCCTTCTCATCCCGCCATCTGTCGCAATCTTCTAGATATACCGGGGCGGCCTCCGTCAAGCATCATGTCAACGGAGACCTTCACGCAAAAGGCCATCATGAGTGCCGGCCTCTCGGGGCCGCACAACTACCACTACCAGAAACACCACCTGTACAATCCGGCTCCGAGGCTCTCCGCCCTTGTACAGTCTAAGCAAGCCAAGTCATCGTCGAGGCGCTCGTCGACGATGGTCCGGCAGCGAGCACGTCATCAACGACAACCCCAGCCACTACATCCCCTGGCAACCATGGTCGCCGTGGTTTTCGACTACTTCTTGCGGGGAGTTCTGGACATCACGAGACCGCCGAGAGAACTGGTCACCATGGTCGTGAGGGGGGTCTTCACCAGCCTGTGCTGGGCGTACCATGCGCTGCCCATGCCGCTTGCAGTGGGCATGTTTTACTACGGCTTCCAGAGCGTCCCCGACGGATTCCGCGGCGTCGAGGAGTTGCGGATGATGTACAGCACGAAACTGGACGGCGGAGCGATCGTCGGGGGCGCATCTGGCATCGAAGGCCTTTACGGGCTGGGCGAGCTGGTCCTGGTGCGATGGGGGGATTTGGGTGTCCTGTCGGTAAGCTTTTTCTGACATCATTCCTGTTTTTTATTTCTTATTTTCCCCCATTCCCTCTCATGCTCCCCCGTCCCTTGCTTGTCTCGGCTCGGGCATGCGCTTCATCTCTCCCAATGACAAACCACGATGATGGGATAAAGAAATAAAGATAAAAAGTGTTGGGGGCTGACGTTGGTCCAGGCGTTTTATTGTCTCGCCATGATGACGGCGGCGTATACAGTCATGGTGCTGATGGAGATGCGCGACTACATCCTCGACACCTGGGCGCTCATTGTCGACGAGGCTCTCGAGATCAAAGCGCTGCTGCGAGCGGACGAAGCCTAGCTAGGTCTTCCGGAAAGGGGGGCCTTAGTCTGCTTTCGGAATCGATCGTGTTGCTACGGGATTCGGTCCCCCGGTCGGTCACAAGAGGCGTTTGTTTTGATTGCTCCATTCATCCTCGTTTGTCTCGTTTGTTTCCTCCCTGGTGGGAGAAGAGAGAAAGAGTTGCGTGTGGTCAGATTGTGAGATGTTCATTTCCCCTCACTTTCGCCTTCGCCACCCCACACACACACTCACTCTCTTCTACCTACTTACACTCACTTCCAGGGGGGGCGAACGGGCGCCCGCCCGCTCAAAAGTACAAAAATGGCGTCATTTGGTACGGCGCTTTGGGCGAGAATTTTGCATGTTCTGGAGTGGCATTTGTTCCGGATCTTCAGACGAAGAAGGAACAGAAGAAAAGAAGACGGGAGTTTTTGAGTGTTTTTGTTTCTATCCTCGGTTGGTACGGGAATATTCTACAACTGAGTGATCGTTTGGAGGGAAAGGTTACACTACACGTCTGACGCTGTCTGGCACACAGACAACAGCGTCACCAGGTTCGATATGATAATGATCCATGTACAACACCTAATGAATGAAAATTACCGGGTCTAGCAGTCCTTTCATAGCAATGAGAATAGCAGGAGGAGCCGGGATGGTTCGAGACCATACTACCCGGCTTTTCTCTCTCTCGTCCCTTGACTTTCTTCCCCGTGTTGAAATGAACACCAACCACACAAATCCACGTTTCTCTCCTCTTGCTTCCCTTTTTCCTTTTGAAAGGAGCTGCAGAATGCAGTAGAATTGGCATGTTTGACGCACCCCCCGTTCTCCCTCTGCAGCCTGCAGCCAACTGGCTACCCACACCACACAGCCATCCGCTCAACGCCGTTGCACTCCCTGCACTCCTTTTTTTCTCACCCATCGTCTCACCTCGGTCTCGGTCTCGGTTGACTCTCGCCTCCTGCGGCGCCCTTGCCCTGGGCTGGGCTGGGCTGGGCTGGGCTGCTTACATCATTCGCTTGTGTTCCCCGCATTCATCAATCGCTCAACTGCTCGCGGACATTGACGAGTATCGGTGACCCGCACGAGAAACAATATTTGGGGGGGGCGAATGTTTCTACCATCACTCTTAATGCCTGCTTACAACTTTATGAACGTTGCTACTCGGACCCCCCCAGACTTGTCAGCATCATGCCACCCCCTCCTGAAACAAATATACTATGGCTTGGAAACCTTTATCACCCACCAAAAATATATATCTTTCACCAGTCTGATGGTCCACAAAAGCCTTATCTTTCCAAAGACCCATTGATAACTGCACAAGGAACGATCAGACTGGGCGCAGGGCGTCCTGTTGTGGTGTGTGGACGGCCCTCACCACCACGTGTCTGTCGTCTTTGACAGTGTAAGGCATATGAAGGCATGATTGTCTACCATACTTTATTATTCCGCCAACGGCGGATTGTTATTCTTGACCACTCGGAACTTGACCTTCCCCCACGTATCAGAGTCGGTCACTTGGTTGTGGACTATAATTATAGCCCTTGTGACAGTATAAGATTCGCGAACGTCGCGCCCTACTCTGCTGTGTCAGATCAGCGAGCCTTGTCCTTTGGTAAATCTGATGGTCGACTGCCGTCCAGAGCATGGTTGACCCTGTCTTACCCCGCGATTCATGTTGCGTTCGATTCCTTTATATGCCGTCGTTCCGGAGAGTGTCAGGACCTCTCCTCCTCACTTCTTTTAGGTTGCGCCAAACCTTGTTCGACGTTTTTATCGCCGTCGATTGCCGCCGTGTAGCATCAGCTTCGTGAACAACGCAACGACTGTGCATAGGACACCCACTAGACCACTGCCCGATCGACATTTCTCATCCCTGTGCCGGATCTTTGTGAGGAACATGAGAAAGATGTTGAGAATGTTTACGGACATGACTGGGCTTGGAGGCTTGCTTTTGGTGGTGATTGTGCTTATGGCTTTGGTGTTTGCCGCAGCAAGATTCGACTATGTAAGTGACTCGTCTCTCTATCGTGATCCTGTCGGGTACCAGCGGTACTAACGCTTCGTGCAGATCTTGAAGTCGGACAAAGGCACCGAGGAAGGAGTCGACGGTGAGGAAGATTCGACGTATGCTTTTTATGCGACCAAGAGAAGAAGGGCTTCCAGTGAGTATTTCTCAATATCATGGCGATCCAGTATTCGTTTTGCTTTCTTACATTGAAGTCAGGTGCGAAGCAGGTAAAATTCAACATTTGAGGGTCGTCCGGCCGGAGATCTCGTGCTTATCAACATAGTCGCCAAGACCGGATGTTTTGGTCACACGGCGATACTATTATCTTCTTCCCTTCTTCGGGGACAACAGCGAACAGCCTGGCGAATCATGCTTGATATTCCCAAAGTGTTTCCACCAGTTCAGTCGTTTATAAGTATTGTTTTGTATGGTTTGTAGGGTTGGATATCTCCGTTGCCGACAGAAGAGAACTGGCTCTTCATTTGGGCGCAACTGATTGTCGGGGCTTTTATAGTGTGTATGTATTCTGCTCATATCCAAATACCAACTATACGTTCCATGATGGCGGTTCTCTAGACACTTTTTCTTATGTCCCTCAGATATCGTTGTCATGCACAATTTCTGATAAACTTTGCTTCAACTACGCTCTATGCCCTTTCGCAGATCATCGATCATACATGGTAATATGACTTTAGACCTGTTCCTCAAGCTGTCAACGTGTCAAAAGTTTGTGTCGAGACAAGACAGTAATAGAGCGTTTCTGAGAGTTGCCTGTGTCTCATTCGTTTCCGGCGCAGGTTCTCTACTCAACAGCATTAAAATCCTCAAGGGCTTTCGAGCTCTCATCATTCAATCCCTGTCTGAACCACAAGATGCACTGTGACAGTCTGGCATCGGTTGCCTGTTTGGTAAAAGACCTAGGAGAAAGTATCGGTGACTTCAATTATTTCATTGAGACGTCGTGTTTGTGTTTTGGTCAAGGTTGTTGCGAAGGGTGGAGCTTGACGTTCATGATAAGATCCGTCAGTGAGATGCAGAAGTAGAAAGCTCACGTGGAACAAAAATGTGGCTGACGTCTATAACGCACTGCAAAATATATGCAATGTTACTTCTCACGATGGCGCAGTCTAATAGCGAGTCATGCTGACCTACGGTAGCGCATCTCTTGAATACAAGGACTGATCAAAGACCGATGCCTAACTGCGCCTCTAGGCTAGGAAACAACAATCCCAGTTCCCACGCGTGTCCGGGGGGTCCGAAAACATACCCTTGATAGGATCCCTGCAAGGGCTCGTTTACGTGGTCATGTCGATCTGGGCTGACCCTAGAGATGGTGGCTGTGGAGCGTAGATCATATTCGCAAGGCAGCAATGTGTCACCTTACTATGGTCATGCATGTGGCTGTGAAGAGGATTTGGTCTGACATCATGTTGAACGCAAATGCTTCAAGAGCAAAGGAGGCCCAGATGATGATGGGAATGCACCGTTGTTCGCAAAGCACCTTCAACCGAGTCCACTTGTCGCATAAGCCACTCCACAATGCCATTCGCCTCCGGATTCCTCAAGATGAAGCCCGTCGCGGATGTCCCTGCGGATGAAGCCCCGCCGCCATATGAAGCAAAGCCCAGCCAAAGCCCAGCAGTCCCTGACACTCAGACACCGCACCCACCGAGCCCGCGACCGCCGATGCCGCCGCCGTCGCAAGTGGCCCGCCAGTTCCCGCCGGCCTTTAATGTCTACACGCAAAGCTTCAGCCGGACGATGATCCTCGGCGAACACCAAAATCTGCCATCCTATGCCATGTCATTGCACAGTGGTTTGAGCAGTTCGCCGCCAATCGTCCTGCACTCCGGGCCGACAACCACCTTCCCGCCACTTGCTTCAGTGGAATATCACAGCTTCAGCACCAGAATGAGCATAACGCTGCCTCCTGCATCAAGAGGCAGTCCCGGAGGAGCACCCGTTATTGAACTGGGATGTAAGATTGACTTTCCTTCGTCAACTTATTATTTCGCAATGGGCGTTGGACCGAACTGTGAACGGCTCGAGCAGTTCCAGTGGAGGCCCAGCTCTGGCGAAGCGATCGCCATGCTGGATGGGAGGAGCAGGGGCTGGAAGCTGGTTAGAATGGCCCAATCAGCCGGGCCGGCCACCTTCAAGGGAAGTGACGGGAAGGAAGTGGTCGCAGTGTGGACTGATGCCCAAATGAGCTTGTCCAAGCAGGCCAAGTTCGCATTCTTGGGCAGTGGCCTCACAGGCGAGCTGGGCGAACGCTGGGCGGTTATGGCTGTCATATCCGGCTTGGCCATCTTCGAGCGGCAAAGACAGCGCAACCACAGCCAGAACCATTGATGCTTTGTAGCCACTCCATGGCATTATGCGGTACTGCCTGTAGGGGCGCTTTATGATTGCACGATCTTTAGCGATACGGTTATGTCATGCTTTGTTATGTTAGTTATGTCAGCTTGATACCCACGAGTGACTACAGAATTAATAACAGTTGCCTAAGGGCTTGAATAACCCCCATGCATAACAGCCATGAATCAATCTTCTTGCGGCTTGATTGTATGATAAAGCGATTTGGTTTGAGCGGTCCCATCACCCATAAGCGCCCCCAATGGCTGCGTGCCCACGAGCATTCGTAAGTGCATCATATTGAGTGTCGCCACAGCCACTTGCCCAAAGCCATAGGGCCGAATCAGTGTCACGCGATGCGAGGAGACTCTGGTCGCTCGTGTATTAGAATGGAGTGCCACGCGGCGTGCAAAAAAAAAAAAAGAAAAAGGTGCACACTTCAACATGCTGGAGCAGGGGACTAGTCCGAAAACAACAAGGTAGACTCGGTAGCTATACAATTTAATACAAAAGAATATAGTAAGTGTAATTCGGCTTTTATAACAATTTCTATTAGATTATCTCACGAGCTAGAGCACACAGCAGATAGGGAGATACAAATGAGTGAAGAAAAGGCTTGAATTGTGTGAAGACGAATCTCCCGGGTGGAGGGCCCATATAAAGGGGGCCCTCGAGCTCGTTCATGTGACATAGCACGTGGTGTGGCTGACGGCAACCGCCACACATACATGAGCCTCCTGTGATATTATTTTTATTGCGCACCGCGTGAGTGCGTAAAGCAGTTATCAATTCGGCCCGAAAACTACCACCCCTCGATGGAACAAACGGAGCCTTTAGTTCACAGACACGAGCAACTCTCCACACGAAAGCATTCCGATGTTGCATCGACCTTCAGTCTTTCCAGGAATGGAGTATGACAGGAGCCAAAAATGTGCAATAGGGCTGGCTATGTGTACATGCTCGCTGATCACCTGGAAGGGCGGGAAATCCTACCAGTTGGATCTGCCACCTGAAGTGGAACATTTATGAAAAATTGTGTGGATGCCAGTTGTCTGGTTCGGAGCTGGGCTCTGGTGGAGACTTGAGTGGAGGAAGCGCAGGGAGATTCGCACCGTAGCAAAGGCCATAGCCGACAGACCCGGCGGCTGACAACGACGCCACGCTGCTCTAAGAGGACAAATATCCTTGCCTTTATGCGACTGTCGAGACCGCTGGCTGTTAACCATTGATGGCGATGGATGGCGCGAACGTACCTGCTCGGATTCGTGCCGCCGCAATGGACGAATTGCCAAGCCCCTGAGGACGGCACCGTAAGGAGGCGGGTATCGCCCTGCCCTATCCGTAGGTAGTAAACCAATCTCACATAGTGGATTCTGTTCTTCTCGTATGCCAGCAGCTTGACGTTTCGAGCTGAGCCGCCGTACCAGCAAAGCATTGAAATGTAATTACGGAGTACTTACGGCTGGTATGCAATCTAGAGCCCAATGCTGACTGGACAGTCAAGCTCATGTCCGAGAGAGAATGGTTGCAGGGTAGCCTATCTTAGATTCCCTACGGAGTACGGATAGACGCTGAGGCTTTCACTTCTCACAAACATAGACCCCTGCGACTCTCTGGTGGGATAAAGCGTCAAAAGGATTGGTGGAATGGGGGAGAGAAATACCTGCATCTCGCCATGCGTGGTGCAGGGGCAAAGTGGTCTGCAGAAGACATCCTACTTATGTACGTTGACGAACAATCCCTGAGGCTCCGCCGCAGCGACCCAGGACGTTGAACACCTTTCGAGGTTGCCGGTAAAATGCCAGTGCACTTTTGGTAGTATGCCAGTGATTTAAGCCTATTTAGGAAGGCACTACTACCACCACCACATTTCCCCAACACAGATAAATAATCATATTCCATCACCCTAACACTAGCTAACCCAGACCCTAACCCAGACCCTAACCACTAACCCTACGTATCTTTAAAAGCCTATGCATCTATAGAAGATACGTAGGGTTAGTGGTTAGGGTGGTTAGGGTCTGGGTTAGGGTCTGGGTTAGTTAGAGGGTTAGCGTGACGGAATATGGTATTTCCGGCTTCTATGTGGCAGTGCTTCCAGATTAGGTTAGACACTGGCAGACTACCAAAAGTGCACTGGCATTTTACCGGCAACCCCTTTCGAGAGATAGCGCGTAAGGTGTTGATTGCAGTCATCAACGGCGCAGGGTGAATTCGGTGGTACAATTAAGAAGGGGACGAGTCCCAGGAATTAGTGGTTTCAGGGTGGCTACCGGGATCTGACGGGGATCCGACAAGGGATCGACTGAGAGCGTAACGCCGGGACGAGCCAATCGGTTCGGCCAGCGAAGCTCAAGAGTGGGGACGAAGTACGATGGCCCCGGCCGGATATCCCTTTTCAGCAGTTGGCTCTCTCAAAAGTCATCCCATGTCCGAGGAAATTCACCTGGTCTCATCTTGTTTGCTGTAGTTTTGCTTCTTTTAACTGATAATGACATGACAGATCCTTAACCTCGAGACCTGTCTAAGTAGGTAGTAGTTAGTGTCCGAACCAGTTCTACGGATACAGCCTGGGAACATGTCTATATGTCCACGTTACGCACACCAGCATAGGAACAGTTGGCACTCGCCTATCATTCTCGGGGGGGAAACATGGGCTCACGTCTCCCAAGCTTTTCTTCTCGCAACCGGCAACGTGGGAGAAGTTGCCATGAGTCCATTGGCTCACCCGAGGCGCATGTTCCAGGCCCCAGGTCCTCACCCACCCACCCACCACTCGTAGTACATCAGATTCGAGCCCACTATACCGAATCCTAGCCCTGCCTATCTCCCGCATACGCGAGATCCCCCTCCCATGTTTATCTCCACCAAATAGCCGGATATGATTGTCTTGCGTATAATTGAAACTTTGGCGGAGCGGCGGTAGTGGTCCTTTCAATATTGACCTGATGGGGTTGAGAGGCAAGACGGCGGTGCAAGCGGCCATCTTGGGAGACCGTCGTGCGAAGCTCTCTCGCGTATATATCATTGTTTCTGCCCAGCCCTCATCAGGTCTGCCATCTCTTCTTGCGATCCATAGTGTTCAGCTTCACTTGACTTGTGTGTCTATCTCGTTCCTTTATTCCAATTTTGTCATTCTTTCCACCTGACCAGGTTGTCATTCGTTCTTTTCGGCCTTGGACCTATCGCCAACACTCACTTTCCAATCAACCAAGCTATTCTCACAGTCAAGGCTTTGGCAATTTTCTCGAACAACTCTCAAAGACAAGCCAAACCCAGTTCAAGCTCTCCAGCCGCCAAAATGAAGTCCACTGTCACCTCTCTTCTTGGATCTGCGGCCCTGGTGGCCGCTCACGGTATCGTCAACAACGCTGTGATCGGCGGCAAGAACTTTACTTTCTACCAGCCCTACCAGGACCCGTACATGAAACCCGCCCCTGAACGCATCTCTCGTGCTATCCAGAGCAACGGTCCCGTTGAGGATGTCACCAGCATCGACATTCAGTGCGGTGCTGCTACCGCCGGTAGCGGTACCATCCCCGCCAAGCTTGTTGCTAAGGCTGCTGCCGGCGAGGAGGTCACCCTTGACTGGACCATCTGGCCCGACTCCCACATCGGCCCTACCATCACCTACATGGCCAAGTGCGCCGACAACGATTGCACCACTTGGCAGCCTGGTAATGACGCAGCCTGGTTTAAAATCCAGGAGCAGGGCCGTGAGGGCACCTCCAACAACTGGGGTGCGACCCCTCTCATGAAGGCTGGCAACTCTGGTGTCAAGTACACCATCCCTGAGTGCATTGCTCCCGGCCAGTACCTCGTCCGTCACGAGATCATTGCCCTCCACGCCGCCTCCTCCTACCCCGGTGCCCAGTTCTACCCCAGCTGCCACCAGATCGAGGTTACCGGTTCCGGCAGCACCAACCCCTCTGACCTGGTTGCCTTTCCCGGTGCTTACAAGGGCACCGACGCTGGTATCACCTACGACGCCTACAAGGCTCAGCCGTACACCGTCCCTGGCCCCAAGGTCTTCTCCTGCGCCGGCTCCGGCTCCGGTTCTGCCCCCGCTTCCTCTGCTGCTCCTGCATCATCCGCCCCTGCTGCTACCACTGCGCCCGCCACACCTAGCCAGACCGCCGTCGCCGACGACAACGATGAGGACTGCCCCGCCACCACCACCGCCGCTGCCCCTGTTGCCACTTCTACCCAGCCTGGCGGTGATGAGGAGGATGACTGCCCCGCCGAGACCCCCTCTGCCACCAGCTCCACGGCGGCCTCTAGCCCTACTGCGAAGGAGGTAGATGCCGAAGACGACTGTCCTGCCGAGACTACTGCTCCTGTCGCCACTCCCACCGCGGCCGCCGGCGACGACGAGGATGACTGCCCTGCCGAGTCTCCCTCTGCTGCCACTCCTACTTCCACTCAGTCTGCCAACGACGATGAGGATGACTGCCCTGCCGAGACTCCTTCTGCCACTCCCACTCCCACTCAGTCTGCCAACGACGACGAGGACGACTGCCCCGCCGAGTCCACTGCTCCTGTCGCCACTCCCACCGCGGCCGCCGGCGACGACGAGGAAGATTGCCCTGCGGAGACTCCCTCTGCCACTCCTCGTGCCAAGCGCATGACCATCCACGAACGTCGCCTCGTATAAATGAATCCCAAAATGCCGCAGATTACTCTCGGTGCTTTGTCTCTTATAGAGGTTGGCCAATGTTATCTGGCTTGAGGGGGTGAAATGTTAGTAGGCTCACAGTGGGTGTTTACAATTGTGGCGCCGGCGGTTCTGGTCCGGCCTTGGGTCATTCTATTTCATGTACAAATTCTTTCCTGTATATCGGTTTACATAACGTATATATATATCTTCGCGATATAGATCATACCATCGTGTTCTCGAACGTTCCAATTCGCTTGTTATCAGTTATGGATGACATAGTACATTTGCTGACGAAATAAGTTTGCTTCGAACGCCAATATACCTCGTCTTGTCTATGAATGTGATCAGATCAACTATAGCGTGGAGTGTTATTACTAGTTGAAAAGGGATTGGCTTCATCTATATGGGAATGTAGTATGAATCCGCGGCAATTAATCATGGGCTACATGTTGCAAGCATGACCCATATGAACAGTTGTTACATATGGCCTAGACCCTTGCTTTTTGCATAGTTCTAAATTTATAGCATCGCGAGAAAGTATAAACATGCTTCCCGGCTGCGGCTACGGCATCTCGCATCCTTAACTCGGCACATTGTTATCCAGATGCTGCTCTTATTACTACACAAATCGGACCTTCCAGCCACAGCTCCATGAACAGCAGCAAGTGCTGTTGAACGGCGCTTTTTAAGAAAGACCCTGCCTCATCTGAAAGGGCAACCACACTGAGCACAACCCTCGCATAAATAGCGCCGGTAAACATGTTCAATCCGCCTCCGCGACTCATGTCGTGTCGATAAGTGGCGCAGAACAATACAAAGCTGATATAAGTATTATGCCACCCCTCGACAGTGCCAATGGCGCGTTGCTGTATCCCACTAATTGAACATGACCGCGTGTTTATCTCCTCTCCTATTCTGAATAGGAGAATGTTGGTATTACAGGGATTGTGATCGTAAAGCAGTAATAGTTTAATTGACTACTAGTTGCTTGTTAAGATAGATAATAGGAAAAAGAAGAAGAAGTTGTTACTGCGGATATTTGTGGTGGTGTAAGTGAGCCGCTAAGGTAAGTCACGTAATTATAGATTATATAACTATAGATTAGCTCTATATTAGCTAAATATCCTAACACTAGTAACTTTCTAAAGTAAAGGAAAATTACTATAAATAGCCTAGATACTGCCTAGTAGCTAAAAAGCTTAAAAACGTAATAATAATTAAAAGCCTAAAAGTATTTAATACTTTTTATTTATATAATCTATTATATAGCTTAAGAAACTTATCCTTTTATACTAATCTAAACTATCTTATTTCTAACTAGTTATTCTAGCGCCTTATTAAGTAATAATTTAGTAAATCTATTAGTAGGATTATTATTACTTTATATTTATTATACCTTATAGACCTTATATTACTTATATAACTACTAGAGGGCTATAATATTAATTATAAGCCTTTTCTCTTTTATAGTCCTAAGCTTAATAAGGCACTTATAGAGTAAGTATAAGTTAGTATAAAGGATTATTAGTATATATAGTAGCTTAAGGCAGTTAGTAATTATTATAATAGTTATACTAAGTATATAAGTAACGTTAGTACTAGTAACTATACTATAGATCTTAGAGGCTAGTATACTTTAGGTAACTTACTTATACTTTATTAAGCTAAAGTAAATAATATTACTAGTTATAGTAAATCTATTACTTATAGTAGTACTTATAAGTACTTTATTAGTAAGTATAATAATAAATCCTAGCTATAAAGTAAAGTCCTTATTATTTATAAATAATCTATTTATAAAAATAAAAAGCTTTATAGATTTAAGGTTAAGTAAGTAAAATAACAGACTATAGTTAAGGTTATTTATTTACTATATAATATAATAGTTAAGTGCCTTAATCTTATTTATATTAGGTAATTAGTATTATACTATAATAAAGTAGTTAAAGTATACTTTAGGCTAGTAGACTAATATAATATATATACTATAGGCCTATTACTTAACGTACTACTTAAGTGCTTATAGAGATTCTTTATTAATAGGTTAAAGTCTTTTACCTTAGCCCTTTTATTAGAGAAAGATCTTCCCCTTAGTAGTTAGAGATACTACACTACTATTAAAGGTAAGTAGGTTATTAATAGTAAGGATTTACTTCTCCTTAGTAGTAAATATAGCCTTAGTAAGCTTATTAGCCTTATAAGTAGAAAAAGATTTATCTAAAAAGGTAATAGTATTATTAGTCTATATACTAATAATCCTAAAGTCTAGGCTTTTTATATTAGTAATTAGTAGGTATAGATTAAAGGTTAAAGTCTTTACTTAAAGCTTTTCTTTATAGTAGTAACTATATATTACCTACTAGTAAGTGCTTACCTCTATAATACTATATAACAGCTTTACTACTTATATAATAGTGCCCTTTAGATAGAGGTCTTATATTTATAATAAAAGGTATATAAGAATTATATAATTTAATAAGGTAGTTAACTATATATATACCTAGGTAATATTATATAACTAGAGTAAGAAATTATTATTATTATAAATAAAGGATAAGGTAAGGGTAAGAATAAAGCGCTAGCTAGCTTACTAGATTATAAGTAACTAAGTAAGAATTACTTCTTTATTATTATTAGTATATCTTTAGATAATAAGGCAGGATTTCTTATATAGTTTTTTATTCTAGCCTTTTACCTTATTAATAATCTATAATTTAAATATTTATACTTTAGTGTACTTATTCTTATTATATTAAATAAAATAAAATACCTTATAGGTAATAAGCCCTTTAATTTTAGTAGTAGTTACTTACTTAAAGGGCTTCCTTAGGGTAGTAATAATACCCTTTTTTTATAGCTTAATTAATAATAGTTAGTTAGCTTCTTTCTTTATTAAGATATATACTATACTTATAGTAGTAAAGAAGGTAGTAAGCCTAATAGTAAAGCTAGCTTTATTAAAGAAATTAATATACCTTTATAGGCAGCTAGCTTTTTACTTTAGCTATAAGTATATAGTAATAGTAATACTATTATATATTTCTTTAGTAGGCGTAAGGACGTTAGTAAGTAATAAGGCTACTATACTATTATTATTATTCTCCTTATTACCTTACCTACCTACCTTAAAGAGTAGCTATTATTACTTATTATAGGTATTTTTAAGGTATAGTTTAATAACGTTTAAATAAAAAGTTTATAGGCCTTAAGAGAGGTTAATAGTATAAGTAGTCTTATTACTAGTAATAAGGTAAAAGGGGCTTTATTAGCCTTTTTTTTTATACTAAATACAGACTATAAATTAAAGTAGAAGGGCTACTATTATAGTAGTATTTAGGCCGTTATATATAGTTACTACCTTATTAACTTACCTTTTTATATAAATCTAGTAAATAGCCTTTATTACTTTTCTTATTACTTTAGCCCTTTTAAGTAAGGTTAATAAAGGAGGTAATAAGTTAGAGATTTATAGGTAGGCGCTAAAGACTAGTAGTGTAGGTACTAAGCTATTTAGGCTAGCTATATTATTAATTACTTTAATAGCTAGCTAAAAAGTAACCTTAGGTGTATAGCCCCTACTATAAAGGATATTATACGTATGTTAGAGGGGTATATAGTATCTTTTAACCTTACTAATACTATTATAGGCTTTAATTAGTATTTCTTTAATATTAATATAAAGTAACCTTACTAACTACTTAAATTTACTAGTATAAAAGTTTAGGCTAGTATTAGTAATAATCTAGTTAGTTAGGCTAAGGTAGACGTTAATCTAGTATATCTAAAGTGCCTCTTATATATACTTTATAGTAATGTTTTTAAGTAAATAGGCTACTTAAAAAGATATTATAGTATTAACTATATATAAGGCTAGGTAGTTACTATTAAGATAAATAATATTAATAATAATCTTATATTTAAAGTTATATTTATTATTATATAAAGTAAATTTAAAGTAACTAGGCGCCTTTATATTTATTTAGTAGTAGTAGTAGACCTTAGTTAATTTCTCTAAGGCTGTAATCTTAATTTTATTACTAGATTATTAGAGGACATAATAAAGCCTTTAGACTAATAGGTAGCTAAAGTAATAATAAATTTACTATAACTTATTATCTATAAGATAGTAGTAAGTAATACTTTACTTATATTAATTAAGTAGTATCTATATATAGCCCTATTTATAAACAGTAGGTATAATAATATTACTTTAGATTAGCTTATTAGTAAGGTTATTAAATTTAATACTATACTAATCTATATTTATAAAGTAAAGTAGAAATAAGGTATTTAATAGTATTATATAGAAGGTTAGTATACTAAAGGGGGTTAGTACGTTAATTACCCCTTATAATTTAAAGTAGTTACTACTACTAAAGTAGATTTTTACTTTACCTGCCTGTAACTTATCTATAGCTAGATTTTCTTTTATTTAGTAGTAAAGGGCAAGATACTACTTATATTTAGCTATTAAATATTTAGCTACACTAGAGTTAGGTATAATACTATAGAATAAGATAAATAAATATTACTTATTAAGGGTAAAGACGTCTATATTAGGTAGCTTATTATTATATAGATTCTTATATAAAGAGTTATTTTTTATAAGAAAATAGGTTATAAATTAGTTATATAGTAATAAAAAAAGAGTAGGCCTATTAACAGTAGATAAGTTAAAGAACGTTATTAATATATAAAATATAGTGCCTAATTCTTTATTTTTATTACTTTTTATATAGTTACCTTCCTTATCTAAAGTAAATAACTTATATCCCTTAAAGTTAGTTATAAAGTAGTTAAAGGCTTTAAGTAAAAAGTCTATTAGATACTACTCTTTATACTTATAGTAAGCTTATTACCTTTTGTCTTTTAAGTGCCTTATTAACTAATAGTTAGGCTTACTATATATATAGCACTTCTTTATAAATAATAATAAGGGTAAAAGAGGTGCTTATTACTATAAATTACTATTAAAAAGGCACTATAGTATAAAGTTA